TGCAAAATTTGGTTCCAATATATTTTTTAAAGAACTGAACCTTTAAGATGCAGCTGGGTGGCTTAGTTGGTCAAATGTCTACCTTTGGCTGAAGTCATGATCTCACGGTCCTGGAAGGGAGCCCGAGCCCCACATCTGATTGCCTGCTCAGGGGGAAGGCTGCTTCTCCCTCTCCTTTGGCCCTGCGCTGCCCCAACTCATTCTCTCTCATTCTCTCTCAAATAAAAAAATAGAACCTTTAAAAAAAAAAAAAAAGAACTGAACCTTAAAAATTGAGTTGAAGTCCCCTATGTTATCCCCCCCGCAATCCCATTCCCTTCCCTCTCCCTGCAGAGGTGACCACTATCCTGACGTGGGTTTCACTTTGCACAGTTTTTATGCTTATGCCACATAGGGATGTATTCATAAATGATACGAGTGTATCACAACTATCATCACAATTCACCATCATTCTGCAGGGCTTTCCATTCTAGATGGCTTCAGATGGTTTCACCCTGTGTGTCTCTTTTAATACATGGGGCAGTAGTGTGACAGTGTGATAGTCCATTCCTGACCATGTCACAACACCATATCCATTTTGTTGGTAACCGTGAAAGCCCTATTTCAGTTTTTGCTGTGACAACAATGTTGCAGTAAGCCTCCCTGTCTCCTGAGAGCATTGTTCAAACCATGGCTTGAAACCTATTAATGGGTCAAATCAATTTAGCAGGTGAAGATCAGCATTTTTAAAACTCAAAACTGATTCAAAAATAACGTACATCACACGTCATCAGGGTAACTCTCAGGGTGAGAACTGCATCATCATGGATGTGCGATATATGCTTATTTGAGGATACTGTCAGAGGTTTTGAAAAACTCTAGAGAAAGAGCTTAGAAAGTGGAATTGCTGGATCACAGGGAAGTTCCTCCCTAGAACTGCCAAATCACTCTGCAAAGTGGCTGTTCTAATTCCCCCTCTCATCAGCCACTGGGAGTGTGCCCACTGACTCATGTCCTCACCAATACCTGGCATTGTCGGACTCTTTAATGTGGAATTTATACCCCCCCCCCCCCCATAGTACCAAGGAACATATCACGGGCTATCTTGAACTGTAATGATCTCTCTGCTTTCTGGCCCTCCCCCAGGCAACTGTGAGCTCTTCACTGGAGCAGGCCACTATGTCCACTTCACTTTATGTCTCCAGGCCAGGTCAGGCACATAATAAATGTTTAACAAGGCCATGTTTAATTTTTTTTTAATAAGCTCTACACTAACATGGGGCTCGAACTCACAGCCCTGAGATCAAGAGTCGCATGCTCTGCCAACTGAGCCAGCCAGGCACCCCAAGATTTGAACAGTCAAGGAGAAAGAAGATGGCGAGAGTATATAAATTACATCAGGAGGGACACGTGGGTGTCTCAGTGGTTGAGCGTCTGCCTTTGGCTCAGGGTATGATCCTGGGTCTGGGATCTAGTCCCACACAGGGCTCCCTGCGGAGAGCCTGCCTCTTCCTCTGTGTCTCTCATGAGTGAATAAATATAATCTTTAAAAATAAATAAATAAATAAATTACATCAGGAGATAAAAGGATACTGTGGGAGCCCCAGCTCAGGGTGTCTGTCAGGTGCCTGGGTCTCCTAAGTGGAGGGCAGGGAACTTCCAGGGATGCTGAGCTAAGGAGGCGAAAAGAAGTAATGGGCCCCACCCCTCCTGGGTGGCTTGAGCAGGATGCTAGGAAGCTGGGGCCAAGTTCAGACCCAGGAAGGAGGTCACCACCATCCCCAGGGCAACTGGGTGCCTTATCCAGGCCCCAGTGTCAATGGCTGGATATATCCCCATACCCACCTCCCACCGGAGCCTCTTCCAGAGGGGGAAGAGAGGGGATGGCAAGCTCTAGTAAGAAATCCTGAACTCAGGATTCACAGGGAGCCAGCAATTGCAGGGGCCTCTAGGAGGGGGAACCAAAGAGGGGATGGGGGCTCCATTGGGAGGAAATTACCTTTGGCTCACTCCCTTCTTAACTTTTGAATTTTGGACTATGTGAATATACAGCTTCTAACCCCAAATAAATAGAAATAAAGATGTTCAAAGCATCACCCCCCAAGTTCCAAGAGCCAGCAGGAAGACTTCCAGGAAGCCCACCTCCACTCTCTGTCCATCCTGGGCCTGTAAAAAAGAACTGGTGGTGGTCCTCAGACCCTCTCCCTGGATTCATGGTTTCACCTAGGAGGTGGGGGTGGGGGGACAGAGGACAATTTGACATAGGAGGGGCTACCAGCTGTGAACCCTAGGCCTCCTTCACCAGTATGTCCCCACCCCCACCTCAGCTGCCTCCTGGAGACACATTCCCAGCTCCCGTGACTTTGCACAGGGTACAGACAGACCTCTCTGGGCCTGTGACTTCTTGTAAAGAGAGTTCACATCCCCTTCCCAAGTTTCACCCTTGGCTCTGACTGTTCTTTAACCTCTTTCTGTCCCTCCATGACTGCAGTTGGGAGGGGTGGGAATGCTACCCCCATGTTAGCTAGCTGTGCCATCTTGTGGTTTGGAGCAAATAACAGGTAGTTCTGAAGGGCTTCCTCAGCCCCTCTCTCCTGATAGGGCAGCAAGAGGGCAGGGGCGGAGCCAGGCCAGAGGGCTGACTCAGGGCAGCAACCACCCAGCCCGTCACCACGGTGGGTGGGGTGCCAGCCCAGGCCCTCTGGGGTTCCCAGAGAATTCCTTCCCCATGCCATAAGCTGCCCCGGGCTGGCACCCCAGCCCACAGTAACCACTTAGCCACCACCAGGGCTGTCGCCTCAGGAGCGTCCACTCACACTCTCCCTCACACACACCAACACTCACATCACACACAAAGTCACACACTTTCCCTCACACATTCGCACATTCCTGTCACACACTCTCCCTCACAAACTTACAGTCTCCTCACTCTCACACCAACTCTTCCTCATATACTCATGTACTCTCCCTCATTATGCTCTCTTACGCACTCTTATACACTTCCCCTCACGCATTCACTTTCACACACTCCCTCATTGTTTCTCACACATTCACTCTCACACACACCTTCTTACACACTCTCCCTCACACACTCATACCAACAACCTCCTCACATACTCAGACATTCCACAGTCACACTCTCCCTCACAAACTCACATTCTTCTTCTCACACTCACACTCTTCCTTATGTACTCACGTATTCTTCCTCACCCGTGCTCTCCTACACACTTATACACTTTCCCTCGCACATTCACACTTTCAGTCTCCCTCACACACTCACACCAACTCTCACACTCTCCCCCACACACTCACACTCTCACTCCTACCCTCTCATCCACACCCTCACACACACTCACACACTCACCCTCCCAGGAAGCCTAAAAGGAAACAATACTTATTCTGTTTGCTTTCACCCCACCCCCACGACCCCGTCATTGATGCCATATCTGTGTATTTCAGACATTGCTAACCACCTTCACATGCAAGGGACCAGACAGGAAACAGATTATAAAAATGTGGCCAGCTAACTTGAACACATGGTCCCATGCTGGTGAAAAGAGAGATAAAAGAATCTTCTGGGATTCCCTCTGGTCCCAGAAGGAAGCATGATTCCTTCTAATTTTAATCTCTTGAGAGAGAGGCACTCTGGCTCTGGAGTCCTGAAACCAGGGGGCCCTACTCCAGGCCTTCCCTCCTCCTCTGCCCTGAGGTGTGCTGGCAGGCAAGGCGTGACCCTCTCCCCAGGCACCTTCACAAACAGAAGCGAAAGGCAGAAGTCCTGGGGCAAGACCCCTGGAGTCCTGGCCCTGACCACCTGCCAACAGGTACAGAGAAGCTGCCCAGGCCCTCTGGCCCTCAGACGTTCTCGTGTGTAAAATAAGGATCTGGCACTGTTGTAGTGAGAACCTGGCAGGAAACTGCCAACACATCCCCAAGGAGGGACTGAAGAGAAGTTCATGAATGGGGCCACCCACGGAGGTGCGGGCAGGTTAACCTGCCCCAGGAGGGGATGATGGGAAAGTGCCATGCAGCTAACAACTGTGTAGAGCCATGACCACTCCAAGCCTGAAAAGTAGCCAATGGAACAAACACCTGGACCTCTCTCTCTTCCTGCCCCCCCTTGCCCTCTCATTGCTCAAACGGTGAGGGAGTCTAAGTACTTCAGGCCACAGAGGTCAGCCTCCCAGGGCAGAGAGTAAGCAGAGAAGAGTGGACAGTGGACCTGGAGGGCAGGGCTGAATGTCTAGCGTAAGGAACTGCTTTGTAAAGCCCTTAGTTCTGTCAGCAAATATTCTCTGTAGCAAATATTGTCAGCAAATATTCTCTGTAGCCTTTGCATAGTCCTGAGAGATCTTCATAAAGAGAAAGGCTTGTGGGTCTAAAGGAATGACAATCTAATGGTGGATTTTGTTTTAGAGGAGACCAAGGAGGAAACATTGATAAGGCACAAGATTTTATCAAGCTCTCCACAAACCATGCCTGAGGCCTCCCCAACTGAACAATCAGTTGTTTGAGTGCCCACTTCACCCACTGGTGAAGGCTGGACTGAGCATCAAACGCCCCTGAATTCTGAGGGAGTCGGGACTGGTGGAGGTTACAGTGGAGGCTGACTACAGTTCCCTGTCACTGTGACGTCACCCCATCCTTGGATCCAGGTCAGCACAGTAGAGCTCCCGAGAAAGGAGCAGGCTTCTGGCAACTCTGCCTCTCTCCAGATTTGGGGGAAAGGGCCCTGCCCCTTGAGGGGAAGCTGCGCAGGCCTCCGCACTTCACCTGCTGAAAGGGAGGCCATTTAGAAGAAGGATATCATCTCAGTGATCCTGCTAGGAAAGGGGACCAGTATGGAAAATCTCCCTGGGGCCAGGGCCAGGCAGGAGCAGCCTTTGTCTGGCAGGAGACGGAGAGGATGATGTCAAGTCCACCTGGGCTGGGTCCTGGCCTCCAGCCACGCCCCACACCCACCTTGGCAGGGCTGGGGCTCTGTGATCCGGCCCTTCCTTGCCTGGGCTGCTTGGCCGAAGCTGGCAATGGCTGAAATCTAGGGGTTCGCCCACCAAACAGGATCTGCTCCTATGCCAGCTTTGCCAGCCTCTGTTTCTGGATCATATGGAAGAGGTCCTGCAGCAAGGGGTGAGCCATGCCCTTCTGAGGGGGCAGGGAAGGGTCACAGCTGAGGCACTCTGTAGGGGAGAAGGAGAGAAAGGCCTGCTGTTTGCCCAGGAGCCAAGCAGACACTAGGGCCCTTGTCCTGGGGCAGCGGGGGAGGCTGCCGGCCAGATGGAGAGCAGCGGGCGGGAGAGGAGGGACTCCTGGGCTGAGCAATCAGCCTCTTCCTCCCACACCCCCACGGAGCTCCTGGGGCTCTCTTCCTCTCCAGCCCAAGACCAAGAGAGGAGCCTCACAGAGCCGGGTGAAGCCCAGCCCCCAATCCCACCCCGACACGAGAACAGTCCCAGGGTGCACAGAAGAACCCTGAGCTGTTGAGCAAGGTGCTACCTTCCTGGGGCCCCAGTGCTGCAGAGCCCTCTGGGTCTGGGCCATTGAAGCTGGCCAGGCTTTTCTTTGGAAGGGGCCCTCCTGGTCTGCCATGAACAGGCCCAGCCTCAGACCTTCAGGGCAGTCTGGTGAGGAGTGCTGCATCCAGCCGTTTGACAGATACCTACTGAGTCCCGTGCTGTGTTGCTGGCCACTCTGCAGGGGCAGCAGGGTGACAGCTCCCCAAGGGCCTAAGCATCTCGGTCGCCATGGCACCCAGCTCCTGCCCAGCACCTGACCCAGAGCAGACCTCTGAGCAGCATGTCTTGGGCCAAGCTGGGCCTCAGCAGTTCCCTCTTTAGTCGGCACTGCCCTCTTTCTGAACATAGGCACACCCAGGAGCGGCCCCCAGCACCTCAGCCAGCCCCCTAGAATTGACTGGGCGAACTGAGAGGAAGGCGCTCTCTCCAAGCTCTTGGAGCAGGAGCCAGAAGCAGAAACTATTGCTGACCACTGCCCCTAGATGGTGCTATGGCTGCATTAGTGCCCTTAGGCTACCCTCATCCCTGCCCCATTTTACAGATGAGAAAATTGAGGCTCACAGAGCTGAGCAGACTTGAAGGCAATCAAACAGCTAATGGATCATCCCCATGCTACCAAGGGAGTGGAAACTCATCTATCTAACAGGTTGGTGAGGGCTGTCTACTAGTAAGGTGTCCCCATGTTGCAGATAAGGAAAGCTCAGGGAAGCGAAGGGACTTGTTCAGTGCCACACCGCTAATAAGTGACAGAGCTGGGACCCAAACTCAGGCCTGCCTGACCCGCAGAGCCTGCCAGCTTAATCTACCCTCTGCAGAAGGGTTGCAGACAGGAGGGGAATGTGCTCACCCACAAGTTATGCCCACCAGAGGGCAGTTCCTTTGCCTTCACAGTCCCTGCCTAGAACTCGGTGGTGGCTGGGAGGAGACCCTTACCATTGGGACAGGGACTCTACCAAGGCCTGTGGCTCCAGCTTCCTTCTAAATCTTTCCTCCAACTCCAACTTCCAGTGGGCCTGGCCTGGCTCCCTCCATTCTGAGCCAAGTGGGCCTCCATGCCCAGGATGGCTTCTGTCTGGGTACCACAGTCTGCGGGACACACGGAGGCTGCACCTGCTCTGATTCCTGCAGACTCCAGCACCAACCACCATGATTCATTAGCTCTCCCTTTGTCCCAACAGACAAAACGCACAGCAGGAGGAAAAGAAATTAGACAGCAGGGATGACTTCCAGGTTGTGGGCAATGGAAGGTGCCGGGGATGGGATGACAGAGGTTGTGGAGTTCTTTAAAAGAGGCCTATGCCAGGCTGCCCGAGTAAAAATCCAGATTCAAGGGTTCCAAACTAATTAGCTTCCTTTGGCTTCTCCAGCTCCCTCCCCTAAGGGCTTGAGTGCTGGGAGTGGCAGCTGGCAGGCTGACTCCAGAACCTGTTCAGACCTCCAGCCAGGACACACCTAGCAGCTCACACTGCTCTCATTCGGAGCCAATAAGAATGAGCATTTCCTGAACCTTACCATAGTCCTTCCATGTCTCTATCGATGCACTGATTCTTCAAATGGCCCTATGGCAGGGGCACTGCTGTTCCACCCACCTGAAAGGTGAGGAAACCAAGACCCTAAGAGAAGCAAGAGGAACCTACGTGGCCTTTTATAACTTCACTTCCTTTTTTTAAAAAATAGTTTTTATTTTATTATTATTTTTAAAGATTTTATTTATTCATGAGAGACACACACACACAGAGAAAGAGAGAGAGAGAGAGAAAGGCAGAGACACAGGCAGAGGGAGAAGCAGGCTCAATATGGGACTCGATCCTGGGACCCCAGGGTCACACCCTGAGCCAAAGGCAGACGCTTAACCGCTGAGCCACCCAGGCATCCCTATAACTTCATTTCCAGAGTCACACGGCATCACCTCCATTGTATTTTACTGATGGAAGCAGCCACAGCCCTCACAGATTCAAGGGAAGAAGGACATAGATCCCACCCCTCCCTGGAAAGAGTGCCAAAGGATACTGGGACCATGCTTCTAAACTACCACAGGTAACATTGCAGAATGGGTCTTTCCCTGCGCTAACAGGGACCTCACAGGTTAGAGGCCTGAGAGTTACCAAGAGGCCTTAAGTCAGCCCCTATCCTACAGATCTGAAGACTGGGGCTCCCAGAGTGCAGAGCTTGGCTCTCAGCACCTGCCTCTGCCCCATCCTGCCTGTCCATGACAGGGAAGGCCAAGGAGTCCTCAGGCCCTACGCCCAGGGGGGGTCTGCAACTGGGAGAGGTATGTGGGGGGATGCATATGCCCAAGGGGTATTTAAGTCTGTGCCTGCTTTGTACAAGCACTGGCATGTGTGTCTGAACAGGGGAGGGTTACTCCACTCACTAGAAGATACTGTGCCAGGGCCAAACTCCCCTCTTGTAGGGCACAGACTTTCCAGCGCAGTGGGGAAGCTGAGGCAGGACCACAAGGATGAGAGGGGTTCAAGTGGAAGGGGCTGAGTCAAGAGTGTGTGCTGAGCCAGAAAAAGGTCCATGAGGGTTGGAGGAGCTAGCGCTCTGGTCCTGGGGTCTTGGGGCTCAGGGCTCCCAAGAAGCTAGCAACAGCTAATCATCAGAAACCATTGACAGTTTCCTGGCAGCACAGGGAAACATTTGCAGATTGGGAGTGGAAGACTTGGGGGCTCAGGCAGGCCTGGAGAAATGCATGGTCTTCACTCCTTGCCCTGAGGTCAAGAAGGGAGCCACCTCTCCAGTACCCCACCTGTCCCCGCTGTCCCTGGAGCTGATCTAGGCCTCCAGTCCAACCTCATACCACAGGAGCCCAAGGCAAAGCAGCCAAGGCAGGCCAGTGTCCCAGGGTGTGGCAACCTGTCACCCAGTCTCCCTCATCCCCTCCAAGGCAGGGACTTGCACAGCCATATTTCCAACAGGCGCTCAATAGAGTTGCTGAGTGAAGGAGGAGTGCCCCTCCCTCTCTGCTCAGCCTCCAGGCAGGATGACTACTGCCCTAGGCTTCATGCCCACTCCAGAGGCCCACCCAGACCCTCAGGCACTTCCTGAGCAGCAGGACACATCCTGCCCTGCTTGCCCCTGGAAAGAGGCCGCTTATCAGAGGGAAAAGGACACTTTGTTCAGGCCTGGCCATCTGCCTGGGCTGCGGGTGCCCTACTCAGGGCCTGGCTGGCAGAGGCAGGAAGATCCCTGTAAGCAGGGATGGAAGGCCTTGGGGAGAGCAAATGAGCAAGGCTCCGTGCCTCAGGCCCCTCCCTTTCAGAGGTCCACTTGGCCTCTCCCTTCCCCTGCACCATTCTATCTTCTTTCCATTGGTCTCCTACCTCTCTGACTCCTGATGGAGTTTTTCCCTCGCTCACTCACTCCATTCATTCACTTAAGCAATATTTAAGGAACACTTGGAATGTGCTAGTAAAGTTCGAGGCCCTGTGGACACAGCAGCAAGCAAAACAGGCAACAATGTCTGTCCTCATGAAGCTTACGTTCCAGTTGAGAGACAATAAGCACACATACACACAAATGAAATAGGTGCTGCATTAGATGATAAAAGTGCTTGAAAGAAAAGCAGGGCAGGAGCACAAGGACAGAGCTAGTTGCAGGGAATGAAAGGGAATAAATGCCTTCCCCCTCACAACATATACAGTGGATAAGAAGCCCTCCTGAGAAGGTGACAGCCAAAGACCTTAAGGAGGCAAGGAAATGAATCACATAAATCCCTAAAGGCAGAGCCTCCAAAGCAGACGGAACAGCAAGTGCAAAGGCCCTGAAGCAGGAGTGTGTGTGTGTGGGGGGGAGTGTTTGCAAGGAACAGCAAAGAAGCTGGCGAGGCCAGAGCACACAGAGCAAGGAGGGCAGCAGGAGAGGGGGTCAGAGACGGAGCAGCAACTGGATAAAGAGGGGCCTTATCACCCTTGGAAGGACTTTGGCTCACGCTTACTGATGGGGAACCAGTGTGGAGCTCTGAACAGAGGATTTATGTTTTAAAATAACAGTAGCTCATGTTACATAGTGTGTTGTATGTATCAGCCACTTTTCTAAACACCAAACATGTATTAACCTGTTTAATCCTCCTAATGACTTTTATTAAAGCTGAGAAAACTGAGCTAGAGAGGTCTCTACACACTAGATGTTAGTAGCACCCTCCCCTAACTTGTCACAAACCAAAAATGTCTCCAGACAGTGCCAAATGGCTCCTAGCAGAAAGAATGTCCCTGGTTGAGAACGACTACCTAAGTGTCCTCCTGTCCACACCATCTGCCCCTGTCCCAGCTCAGGCCCACACCCTTCTCACTAGGACACTTGAGAGCCTCCAAATTGGCCAATCGGCCCCCTGTCCCCTCCACCCTCCACAGTACATCTTACCAAGCCATTTAGGATGGTATTAGTGGTCCTATACAATCTGGCCCCTGCCTATCTTTCCAGCAATAGCCTTGAGCCCCTCCCCTCCCTTCCCCCCTCAGTCTAGCAGCATGTGTTGAGTCTATTGTGTGCCGACCACTACAGTGGACACTGTAGACACTGCTGACAGGGAGCCCAGGCCCCCCAGGACCCATCCTGTCCTCACAGTGTATCTGTCCAGGGTAGGGAAGAGCAGGTGAGCTGACAGCTCCTGCTCATGCGGAGCCAGGGAGATTTGAGTGCTCCAGGAGAAGAGGTGCTGGAGCTGAGCTGTATGACATGGGCAGGGCTTATTGAGGAGGGGCAGGGAGGACTTGGGCATGGTGGGGCAGCAGCTTAGAGAGGCCCAGGAAGCTGTGGCTGTGATTTGGGGCTCCAGGAAAGGCCTGGAGAGAGCACGTGTGAAGAGGGACTGATGGCAGGGAGCAAAGGATGACATACGAACAGGTGGACAGAACAGGAGGCCCAGGAGAGACGTCTGAGATGGCTCAGGGAGGTGGACAGAGGGATGTGGTGCCCACTGGACACTTTCCCATCAGGACAGGGTTCTCCTGGCAGGCATGCCCTCCCCCCCCCCTTATTTCATCCATTGAATTCTCCCTCCCCCTGCTAGTCCAAATCACAAATGGTGCCTCCTCCTTGAAGCCTTCTGGATTCCTCCCTGCTGATATGACTGGCTCCCTCCGGCATACTGTCCGAACCTCATCATCTGCTTTCATTGCAGGAGTCCGTTGTTACCCCACTCCCCTGACGACTGTGAATTTCCTGTGAGCAGGGAGGTGTCTTATCCTCATCTCCCCATGAATTAAGTCAGACGGCCTCTGGGCTCTGCCCCTGCAAGGGGCTTGGGGGTGGGGGCAGGGGGCCAGGCTGCATTTGCCGCACCTCGCACCTCAGTGCTGCCCTCCGCACTGCAGTGGCCCACACACAACTGGGGCCTACCGCTAGCCTTCCTGGGCCTTCTCCCTCTCCAAGCCCAGGGTGCCCCTCTCTGCCCTCAGGGGCGGGGCTGGGAGGTTGCCCTGGGGGAGCCCCTGGCTGACTGCTGCACAGAGGTGTGGGCCAGGGGGCGCTCCCTGGTGGGAGACCCCCCCCCCACAGCAGCCCCCAGTCAGTACCCCTGTAATAATTACAGCAGTGAGGCCACCTGCCTCACGACTCCAGCAGCCTCCCTGCTGCAGGCTGCAGTCCCTGCCTCTACAGTCTCATTCCCCTTCAGCAGCCAAGGAGGACTCTGAAACCATAAACCACATCAGGTCACTCCTCGCTGTGTTCAAATAATCCCCAGAAAAAACTCAGATGGGCTAAATACATGTCCTCTCCTTTCCCTCCAGACCTCACCTATTATTCCCTCTCCCTCACTCCCTGTCCCCACCCCCCCACCCCCACCCCCACCCTCCTTCTTCCCCTTCTTCAAACACACTGGAGCCTGCTCCTGCCTCAGGGCACATGCACTTGCTATTCCCTCTGCTGTAATGCCCTTCCCCCAACACCCCCCCCCTTCCTCCAGGTTCCTGCTAACACATATTCTCCTTAGAGCTGCCTTTCCCACCCCATTGATCTAAAACAGCATCCCATTACCCAGCTCATCTTTCTTCATAGTACTTATCACTCCCTGATGTATTCTGTTTATTGTCTATCCTTCTAGCAATACGATAAACCCTCAAAGAAAATAATAAAGGTTCTGTACATCTTCTCTGCTCTATTCCCTAGTGCCTAGAATAGGAAGGGGATATAGTAGGTGCTTGATAAATATTTGTTCTATGCCGAATAGCCGACCTGAGAAGCCCCATGAATTGCCCATGTCATGGATGTGGAAACTGAGACAGAGAGGTATGGGTCCTGTCTGCGATCACATGAGCTTGCCAGCCTTCCAGCTGGGGCTCCAACCCAGTGAGTCTCTTCCCTCTGCCTCTCTGTTCTCCATTTCACCACCCACCTGGAAAAGAATACAGGTGGTTTTGCCGTTCCCTTGCCGGGGCACAGGCAAGACTGACCAACAGTGACTCTAGATATGGCCCAAGGCAGCATCTTCCACAGAGATCCTGCCCAGGAGCCCGCAGGGAGACTCACTGGCTCCCCAGGCAGGCCCAGCTTTGGCCCTGACCTCTTTTCCCTGGGACCATCTGTGTCTCCCCGCCCCCCATCACTCCCCTCTACCTTCCTTTCAGCCACCTCCGGGTTTCAAAAATGCCCTCAGAATAATCGCAGGCTGCTTTTCTTACCTCTATCCCACCAGAGATACAGTAAGAAAGAGATAGAAACACAGATAGAGAAGTATGAGGGGGGTGTGTGTGGGAGGAGCACGAAACAGAGCCACGCATGCAGAGACAACAGAGGGAAGACGAAACCCAAAAAGGAGCGGAGACCGGGTGAGTTCCGAAATAACGGCTCCCCTCAAACCCACAGGCCAGCCCAGGGCCACTGCCAACCCAACTGGTGCTCTGGAGTGAATCAGAGAGAGGCACCCTGGCTGGGTTCCAGAGCCCTCTGGCCTTTGACCCAGCCCTGCCCTGCTGTGTGCCTGTGGGGGAGGAGGGCCACTTTCAGTGCCACCCAGTCCACAGATCTGACCCACAGATGCAGCTACAGAAGTCCCTGGAAGCCTCTGGGAAATGCCCCGTTCTCTCCGTGTGGCTGTGAGCCTGAGTCCAGCCCTCCGCACTTGCCCACTGGGCCTTCCCCCACAGCAGGTCCCCAGGTCATGTTACCCCTGCCTTCATCACTCAAGAGTGTCATCCCACCCACACAAGCCAGCCAAGGACTTCAAGGGGCCGAGATGAGGCCCTTGTGCCTGCATCAGTGCACAGACCCTCTTCCTGCTTCCACAGGATACCTCCCAGCCTCAGAGACCTTCTCTGTAGTTCATGGGAACCCTCCGGAGGTAGGGGGGCAGGAGGTGGCATGACCCTCACTGAGAGAAAGGGAAAGGGAGAAGCAGAGAGGGGAGTGATCACTTCAGAGTCTCTGATACTAAATCAAGGTTCCTGCCCCCTGCCTCCCCAGCAGCCACACTCCTGTAGGGCTGAGGATGAGATGTTCCTTCCCCAGGAGCAGAGGTGACCTATGAGTGATGACATGGCTCACACAGGCAGCCAAGGAGCCTGAGCTGCCAGTGGGGACCCAGCCTACCCCAACCCAACGTAGGGCTGTCTGTGCACTCCACTGGCTGGTCCCACCCAGAGGGCAACAGGGGAGCAGACGTTCTGTCCTGCAGTGCTCTGGGCCCTGGATTCCCCATCCAAGCCTGGGCATGGCCTGGCACAAGGTCAGGGGCCTATGAGGATGGAGGTAGGGCACAGACAGGGTCCGTGAGGAGTGCTCCATCTGTGCTGAGGGTGATCAAAGGGCCCAGGTGGAACCAGGAACCCCCACAGGCCACTGTCTAAGGCCCCCACCCTTCCCAACAGCCAGCACTCTGGGACGAAATAATTAGGGCACAGGTGAGTCATATTGTCACAAGGCTGCTTCCTGGCTGACTCAGGGGACATACAGTCAGAAGGGCCCTTCCACCAGCCCCCAGCCCAGAGCCTGCGTCAAGGATTCCAGGCAAACAATGCCTTCTGGTGTCCAAACTGGGCCTGGCCCTCCCTCCCACTGCATCCCTGAAAAGCCAGGTATGAAGGTGCACCCTTCCATGGCCAGTATGGGCACAGCATTTCCCCCAACTCAAGCCTATCCTTGCTTCTGGGATGAAGATTTGGGTCTTCTAGTTGTCTGGACCTCCCTCTAGCCAAGATCCCTGAGGCACCTAGCACTGAGCATGGCATAGAGGGGCTGTAACCAGGGGCAGCAGGATGGGGCCCAGCCCCCACCCCTATAGCAGCGGCCCTCCTGTGTCACTCCCGGGGACCCCTTACCTGCCCCCAGCCCAGTCTCCAAGCAGCTCCCCATGACCCCAAGGCTGCTTTCCTGGCTTTGTCCCTGTGGTAGCTGGCAGGAACTTCCTGCTGCAGAATTCCCGGATCTTCCCCGTCAGGCCGCCTGCCTGGCTTGGGAACTTTAGAGGGAGGGAAGTCAGGGATGCTCCCACTCACAGGGTCTGGCCCTGTGGTCACAGGGGCTTCCCTGGCATTCTGGACCACCCAGGCAGGTACACCAAGCCTCTGACCCTGCAGCTTAGATGCCCCACTGCAGCCCCTCCGCTAGAACCCAGGGCTCTGTGGTTAGGGCTGCCACACTGAGGGCTAGACTGAGATCCTGGGTAAACTGAGCTGGCACCTAGCCTGAGGATGAGGAGTGAGCTCCAGAGATAGCCAAGGAGGCCAAAGTCAAAGAGGGTTTTATTAATAATAGCACAGGCCTGAGTCTGGTGAGTGGAGACACTGCTGGGCAGCTCACCCTGCAGACGCATGAATACCATTGATCTTAAGACCCCTTGGCCCCAGGGGCGCCTCGGGTGTGCCCTCATGAGAGAGGCTAAACTTCTACTGGGGCTGAAGGGACCTGGGAGCAAGCAGACTCGGGCCAACACCAGCTTCACTCTGGGGACCGGTTTCCCATCTCGTCCATCTCCTCCAGGAGCAAGTGCTAGGGTTAGAAATGGGTGAAGAAAGAGGCATCAGCTCCGTGGGCTCTCCCTTCCTGCTCTGTACCCCCAGAGATAAGCACCCTGAGGTCATGCCAGACCCTCCCCCATCTCCCCACAGCCAGCCCAGTCCACCTCCCTCCCACTAAATGAGGGATCCTCCTCCCTCCAACTTGATGGGGGAGGTGGTCCTTGGAGCCCCAGGAGTCAGGCACCCCAGCCAAGCCCTCCCTTCCCTCACCTCTGTCCTGGATACCACACCACGGGGACTCTGCACCCTTCCCTCCAGCCTAGAGTGGTGTTTCAGCTGCCTCAGCGCCCCTCCCCTAGGTCCCCAGCATTTCCCCAAAGGCTGGTGGGTGGCTTCCTTCCCCCTCAGCTTGGTGTCCCTGAGGGCAGATAAGGAGAGAGTAGGGAGTGGTCATGAGGACAGGACCCTCAAAACACCCATAGAAGGAAGACATTCCTGAGGCAGCTCTGTCCCCCAAGTGAGGACTGGGCTGGGCCCCGACCTGCCACAACCCGGAAACTCCCTACGGGCCCCCAATACTGCTCAGGCTACCCCAGGACCGTGACCCGTACCCCTGGGACAGGGGCAGACTGACTCAAGGATGGTTCTGGAGAGGATAGGGGTAAGAAGAGGGCGGGAAGGGTGACTAGAGGTCCCTTTAGCGTGAAAAGGCAAAAGCAAGGGGCCCTGCCAGAGCTGACCACCCTCTGTAGTCTAGGATGGGGTGCACAGCCTAGTTCCCTAGAGCACAAGGGAACATTGTGACTCAGGACAATGAGAAGGCTGCTCCTCAGTGCCCAGGGGATGGGGACAGGCATTCCTGGTATTCACTCCCCCAAAGGGGAAAGTCACATCCCTAACACCAGAGTGCCCTTGGCACTGGCAGGTACCCCCTCTTCATCATGTTTGATCCTTCACTCACTTCTCGGCCATTTGGCTAAGATCAAGTGCCATCTGATCCTCCCACCAGTCTCCCTTTACAAGTAAAGATGCCACAGCCCGCATCCAAAGCACAGAGAAAATCCATGCCAAAACAAGGCTTCAACTAAAGCCTTTGGTCTCTGAACCCTACACTCTTTCCTTCATTTTCCTACAAAAGGAAACTATAGAGGCTATCCGGGCCAAATGTCCACAGAATGAAAGAATGAGTTGATGAATGAATGAAAATTAATTCAAAAAGCACATCAACGCTTCTTTCAATAACAGATCCACCTGTGTGTGCTCAGAGAAGCTGGGACAGGCCTGACCTTGAAGGCTGATGTCAAGGAGGGTGGGCAGTGAGTGGGCCATGGTGCGACACAGATGGGTAACCGATGAGCGTTTATGGGAGGAAGCATGGGGGGATTAGGAGAGAAAACAGGAAAAGAGCAACATTATGGGGTCAAGTAAGAGATGGAGAGACTGCTGGGCAAGTGTGTGTGCACCGGGGGTCAGGCTCCTACCCTCAGAAATACTACCAAGAGGGAATCATGCCTTCCCTATCCAGGCCCTGGGAATTTGAGGCCAGGGCCAGGGGCCTATGGAGGTAGGAGGCCCTACTTTCTCCAATGGCCTTAGGCAGAGGAGTGGTGGTTGGGACAGGCCAGAAGTACCTGGCCATCCACAATGCCCACCTCCTCCAGGGTGATCTCTGGCTGGGTCAGCAGCTCTCGGCCCTCATGGCTGCCCATCTTCCAGAGACCGGACTCCCGTTGAACTATCAGAAGGTTCTTTAACTCCGACTCCACGAAACCTGAGAATCAGAGAGATGGGCATGGGACAGGCAGGAGAGGGTGGAGAAACCTGCTGGGGATGGAAGAAAAGGTGGCTCCGACTCTCCAGACCTCATCCCAGCCCTGTGCAGTCCCTGGTCATCTCCAACCCCAGCCCCTATATCTCCATTACCTGGAGCCAGCCACACAGCTCCTCCCCACCTCCCTGACTTCCCCCTGGAAGCTCACTGGCCGTGGGCTCCCTCCTACATGCATGAGTGTGAGTTTCCTCACCTCCTGGGGAGAGCATGCCAGGGACAAACACCTGCCCCCACTTTCTACCAGCCATAGACTCAAGAACAAGGATCTGGAACTACCCAAACTCCCCTGGTTCAAATCCCAGCTCTGCCACTTACTAGCTGTGTGACCTTGGACAAGTTACTTAACCTATCTGTGCCTCTGCTTCCTCACTATGAAGTAGATATTATAATGGGACCTACCTCGGGGTTGTGATATGGTATTTCATGAAAAGTGTTCAGAAGAGGGTCTGGCCCATAGTAATAATGGCTATGTACACGACAGCAATGATCACGTTATGCTATCATGTTAAGCTATTCCCATCCTTGCTCACTGTGTCTGGGCAGCAAGGGGCACCAAACAAGTTAGAATTCTGGGCTCAGAAAGGGTGATGCTCCTGGAGCGCAAGCCCCAGTCACAGTCCCCACCTCACTGCCTCCCCAATGCTGAGAAAGGACTCAAGCCAGACTAAGCGTGACTCAGGCCCCCCAACCCGTCTCCAGTAGTCATCTTAGGTCCTCTGGTCCCACCTGGTGGTAAGAACTGGTATCACACCCATGAGCCTCAGTCAAAGGGGAGCCCTCTGGGCCTGAGGGCAGGTTGCACGCTGCACTTACCCACTGTATCGGTTGATCTAAAAGTCTTAGGCAGCGGTGACTGCAGGGGGACAATGCCTGGGACACAGAGCTTGAAGGAGCTGTCATCTTCCTCCATTTCCTCTTCCTTGCCTTTCTCCTCATCAGACAAGCTTTCCTTGAGAGGAAACTGAGGGAATGCCCGGTTGCTGAACAGGTGAGGAGGAAAAGAACCCAAGCCTGCAGCCCCACCCCCACCCCCAGATAAAACAAAAGGCAGGAGGGAACAGCTCCCCAAGGACTGAGAGGGGTCTGCCCAAGCCACAAATCCCGGGGCCTCACAACATGTGGGTTGGGGCCCCGACCCAGGCTTCACCCCCTCTATTGCCCCAGCCTAGTCCCACAGACCTTTGGCCATGGCTGATTTCTGAAGCTGCTTGTACAAGGTGAGGAGTCAGTTCCAAGGAGTTGCCCCGACCTTCGAAGAGGCCAGCCTGAGGTCTCCTGTGAAGGAGCAGTGTAACTGACAGGCTGACAGGAACGAGGGGTAAGCCCAGGCCTAGTTGGGCCCAGCAGGATGGGGACACACCAAGCAGGCTCAAGTGAGGGTGAGGTGCCTCGTTTTCTTAGCAAACAACTCCTATGTGCCAGGCATAGCACTAAGCACTTTCCAAAGAGCATCTCACTGACTCCTTGCACCTGCCCCCTAAGGTAGATACTGCTCCATTCCCATTCTGTAGGTAAGGAAACTGAGGCACAGAATGGTTGAGCAACTTGCCCCCATCCCACAGCTTGGCATAGTGCACCAGAAGGGATTCAAATCCAGGCGGCCTGCCCCCTCCCTCCCCTCCTTCCCTCATACTTATCCCTTGTCCTTCCATTCCAGGCCCCACACCCCTAACGAGTCTTAGGAAGAGGGCCTATTTCTGGCACTGTCTCAATGCCTATGGCCACCACACTCACCGTCAAGCAGACACTCCTTCTCCTCCCTGGTGAAGGTCTTGGGGCAGACCTCCAGTGGCCCCACAGACCTCTGTGGGCATGCTTGTTCCACCTCCAATGCTTGGACAAAGTGGCCCCTGACCCCAAAGCAGAGTCAGATGGGGGTGGCAGGTGGAGCCAGAGATGTGACAAAGGCTTCCTTAAACCCCCCAAACTCCCTAAGGCCCTCCCATGGGCCCTGCTCAAGCCCCTCCAACAGATCCCACCTCCAACAGATCCCTGCTTGGCCCTCTAGGGTCTTCACTGTACAGGGGGGTATCCCTCCTTGAAGGCAGAGTGAGGAGGAAGGTGGAGAACAGAAGAGGAGGTGGGCCCTCTTCCTCACAGGGAGTGATGCCAGGTCCCCATGGGAGTGGGGACCAGGAGGGAGAGAATGGGGAGGGAAGATAGGGTAGAGTGGGGACCAGGAAGGAGCTGGGAAGCCATGGCAGCCTGGCTCACCCTTGCACTCGCCCCTCCCGATCCCCAGCCTGTCCTTCTCTCATCTTTGGTGCCTCCACCCACAACCCCTGACTTGTGGGAAGACTCACCCCATCTCTGGTCCCCAAGCCCCTCAGTTTCCCTCCTATCCTCGATATATCTGTCCCTTCTACACCCAGGTGAGGGCCTTACTCCAGTCCTCTATCCATCTGAAGACCTATATTCCTGGACCCTCCTCAATATGGGTCCTCCCATCTCAGCTCCATATCTTCCCCCAGTCCCCCCATCCAAGGCCCCTACCTGCCCCCCACAGCCCAGTCCCTCACTTGTCTGAGGTCCTTGTATCTCTGGAGGCCTCCCCTACTGCCTTCTTTCTTTTCCCTTTCCTTCTTCTCCGATGGGCTGCCCAGCATCTTCTGGCTTCCCCTAGACAGGATGGGCTTCACCTCTCCACCCTGGGCCCCCACCCTCAGGACCTCCACGGGAGTGGGGATCTGGGCCCCTGTGTCCCCCATCCCTAGCCCCAAGGAATTGTGCTGTGGCAAAGCCACAGAGAGCGTGTAGGACAGTGTGGTGGGTGGCCTCAGCTCCTTCCTCCCCACCCCTTCCTGGCAGTTTATCATCAGGGGGGTGGCATCTTGCTCTTGTGAGGGGCATGCCTGACTCCCCATCAGGCCCTTGTCAGAGCTCTTTAGGCTGCCCTTGCTCCCCACCAGGCTACGGAAAAAGCGGAACATGGAGGAGCGGCCCAAAATTCGGGATTGAGGGGTTGAAGCTGGGGTCTCCATCCTGAGGGACCCTGACTCCAAGGGAGGGGCTGTAGCAGCCACCTCCACCAACTGCTTAAGAACAGGAGGAGTTTCCAAATTAAAACCTCCAGTTGGAAACCTCCAGGAGTTCTAGAAGGCAAAGGTCAGATGGAGGGTGACGGGGATGGGGAGGCTGGGAGGAAGACATGGTAGGGGGGGATTAGTTGGGGGCAGAGAGGGAAGAGTCATGAGGCAGGGGAAGGAGGTATGAGGCAGTGGATTTGGGGTAGGCTCCAGGAGGCATGGGGGGTGGGGGGGCTGGTAGAGGAAGCTGGAGGTACCTGGACGGAGAAGGGGGCAGGGGCTCTTGGGGCCTCTGTACACACCCCTCTCTACCTGGCTTGTCCTTCCCTGGTCGGGGCTGCCCCTGCCCTTGAGAACCGGTCCCTACAGCTAGATGCTATCTGCCCTTCCTCTTTTCTCTCCTCGCAGCATCCACTGGCACGTGCCCAGGTGGTACCCAGACACCCCTGTTTTCATCTCTGTCTACGTGTCTGTCACCTTCAGGATTTCGAATCTCTGGAGACCACCAAGGTGCCTTGGGTACACATCTCAATTGCACGTGGAATCTCAATTTAGTGGTATTATTCCCCACGGCATCCACAGACTTGATTATAAACCCAGCTTAGTGACCTAGGGAGTTCCTTAAACCCGCTGAGTCTCAGTTTGTTCATCTGTAAAACAGGTGTAGTGGATGGCACCTACTTCCAGGGGTTACTGAAAAGATTCAGAGGGATAAGGGTCCCTCGCTAAAGTGCAAGGCACACTGTGGTGCTTAAGAAACTCTGCCATCCTGGCTTTTTTATTGGTACTGATTGATGAAAGGGGGTGAAGATCAAAGGCCAGGACTGGGCATCAGGAGTGGGAGAGGAGAAGCCACACTTCCTGACCGGGGCCAAGTGTGGGGGGTGGAGCGCCTCCCCCACGTGAGAGCCTAGACCGACCCCCAAGCCAGGGGCTCAGCATCCGCATCCGGCGGCCACACAGCAGCTTCCTCTAGGGGGAGCTGATCGGAGCCGGAGCAGCCGGCACCTCTAGGATCACCGCAGCTTCTCGAGGCACTAGGGCCACGCCGTGACAGGCTGAGGCTGCGTCCAGACTCCAGGACTCTCCTGACGCCTGTTCCTAGAAGCTGGGCCTGGGCACCCAGCCCCCAGGGAACAGCTGCTGGCCTCTCAGGATCTTTGGCCTCGGCCCTGTGAGCCATCCCAGGACTGGGCTAGAGCCCCGCAGGTAAGGTAGGAGGGTCTTGCCCATCCTCGCAGCATTCAGCAGCCCCAGACCCAGGGGTCTGCAGGCAGCCAGGTTGGGGCGGGGGGGGGGGGGTGGACGGTAGGTCTGGAGGCTTGCCTGGGCAGCCAACCCCTGCTGGGGGCCGATTCCCTCTGGCTGCCCCTCAGACAGTTTCCCCCCCACCTGCCCACCCCCGAGACCCTGCCCTGGCCCTGGGCACCAAAGAACCGGGTCCTTTTGCAGTGGGGGTTAGAGGTGGAGTTGGGAATCGGAGGTCAGAGCCAAGGTCAAGGGCAGGGAGAGAACTCACATAGTGCTTCTTTCTGCCCCAGGAGCTTCCCAAGCAGGTATCTCCCCCTAGGGAACATCTAGGCCTAGAAAGTGGAGAGCACTGGACTCCCCTTACCAGGAAGTCAGGCCATTGGATGAGGGCAGGATGGCACAGGCCTCTGGCCCTGGGGGCTGCTCTGACACCCCTCCTACTTCCCAGCAGTGAGCCCCTGGGCTAGGGGTAGTTGGAGTTGGTTGTGCAGTCAGCATCCTCCTGCCGGGCTGTCCTCGGGGTGCCACTTTTGTTTGGGGACAGGGGAGAGGGAAGGGCATCCTGTTCCGGAAGGAGCAGCAGGGGTGGGGGTGTGCCAAGCAATCTGCACTGGCTCCCAGGGCTGGAGGAGGGGAGGCCCTACCTTCTCCCTACCCCTGCCCCCAGTAAATGCTGAGGCGGAGAGCCCTCCACACCCCTTCCTGAGAGCCCCTGCCTTGGGGCACTTTCAAAAAAGGCCCCAGGCCTGAGAGGCAGGAGGTAGGCGGGGAGGGTGCTCTCAGGTCCTCCAGGAGGGGAGGAGGTGACGGTGCTTGGCCCAGGGTTGGACTACACCTTCCCCAGGGGTGGGAGGAGGAGCACTTCCCCAAAAGGCTGACAGAGGCAGCCTGGGGGGGTGGTTGGCTATGAAGGGGTGCAAATTGAAAGTGAAACAGCTCACGTCCAGGAAACACTCCCTTGGCCGAGGGTTCACAGAGCAGATCAGGGCTGTGGCCAGCACTGAGCAAAGAGGAAAACGGGGCTGGGGACAGGAGAGCAGGTATGTGATACGGTACCTGTGGGGGGGGGGGGGAGCCGCAGAGAAGGCTTCCTCAGCTCACTGCAGGCAGGAATGGGGAGAGCACCGGTGGGCTGTACACAGGTCCCCTCGCCTTGAAAGGGTACCCCCTGAGGCCTATAAACTGGAAAATCAATCTTAAGTTAGAATTGAAGGTATGAGCTCCTGGAGGTTCCCATTACCGATCTGACTCCCTTGGGCCCCTCCCTAACTTCTTGGTCCCTCACTTCACCCCCTGTAGAATGGGTCTGCTGATGCTTACCTTGCTGAGTGGATGTACATTTTCAGTGTCTGGCACCCCTGGAGGAGTGGGAGAAGTAAGTAAGGCGAAGGTGCTCAGGAAATGTTCGTGGCTAACAGGCCTGAGTTGGAAATCAGGCATGCTCTGGCTGGCCAAGGGGAAGTGGGCCCTTCAAGCACAGCCTTCATGGGTCATTGGCTAGAAGTGGCAATCCTGTGGTAAGCATGTGCTAGGTAGGGTGCAAGAGGCCCCAGGAGCAACGGAAAGAACCCTTGACCTCTAAAACTCCCCTCATTTGCCCAGGAGTGAGGTGAATTATGACTTGAGAGCCACAAGGGCACTGCTGCTCTCATCCCTCCCCAGGGCCCTGGCTGCAGGCTCCGGGTCCCTAGATGTGAGTCCTGACTGCCCTACCTTTCTCCCTCTCTTGAAGGACTGCTAGTGAAATGCTCAGGAAGTTCTGATTCTGCCAGCAGACTCCACAGGGACCCAAGGTGGTGAAATGAGAGGCGGCTACAGCTAGGGCCATGGGGTCTTCTAGGAGTGGGGGCCCCTCCTCCTCTCTCTGTGGCTGTGGGGCGGTGGGAATGTCTCGCAACAGCCCCAGCCCGTCTCCATCTCTGCTTTTTCTCACCCATCCCCACAGGCTGACCCGGTCCTCCACTGGGACCTGAAAAATGGCATCCGGGCAAGGCCCAGGGCCTCCCAGGCGGGAGTGTGGAGAGGCTGCCCCGTCTTCTACTTCTGGTAAGGGTCTCTCTGCCCCTCACCCATCCCATAACCACCAGGGCTGTCGGAGAGGATGGTGAGAGCAGAGGTGGACAGGGCCAGGCAGGACTTATAGGCAGGCTCTCCTGCCCTCTATTCACTCACCTGGGATAAAGGAGAAAAGCATCTCCCCACCCAGTGCAGGTGGGTGTGGGTGGCCTCAGAAGCTGGAGTACAGTCCAGGTTAATCCCTGGGATGAAGCTGGAGTACAGTCCAGGTTAATCCCTGGGAGTGGGGAGGAGTCTGGGCCTGGGGGCAGGGTGGGGCGTGGGGGGGCAGGGGCTAGGAGAGCCCCCAGAGTGAGTGTGAGGTGGGGCACAGCACCATCCCAAGGAAAAAGGAGCAGGGAAGGGTGAGGAGAGGTGAGAAGAGTGGGGTGTGGCTCTCCTATTCCTACAGTAAGAGAAAGAAGGAAGTTCCTAGGCTTATCACCCTGTCAGGCGTGCTAACTGGCGAAAGCAATTGTTACGACTTTGGGGGAGGAAGTAAGATGGCTGCCCTTCTTCCCTCTTCCAAGGGGACCATCAGGGAAGCCTGCCATCCCCAGCCCACTACAGACTGCTCTCTGGGTGTCGGGCTCAGGGCTCCACTCGGTCACTATGTCCCTGTGTGACTTTTCTGGGCCCAAAAGCTACAATTTCAAATTTCGCCTTCCATACTCTCTGAGCCATAGGGCCAGGTACCATTGCACACTAAGCTCACACTAAAAATCCCACATGCCTGGGTTAGGCCCTGGTTACTCCGTGGCTCGCTCTGTGTGACCTCGTGCAGGTATGTAAACACTGCAGGCCTCATCTTCCCCAACTGTACACCAGTGCTCACCTACTTTCCAAGGCTGTTGGGAGGCTCATCCCAAACAGAAATCGCTAGCTGTTAACGAAGGGCTGGAGCAGCTAGCACTGTCCTCCGTGGAAGACACAGGAGAGGCCGGCTGGGGCCTTCAGGAAGGGTGACCCATCCACAGAGCACGGGGCTGCCTGGTCCAGCCCTTCCTCCCTGACTCCCGGCTTTGATCCTTAGAGGAGCAGGTAGCCCGGGACACCGAGGAGGTTTTCCGCAGCTATGTTTTTTACCGCCATCGGCAGGAGCAGGAGGCTGAGGGGGCGGCTGTGCCAGCTGACCCAGAAATGGTCACCTTGGCCCTAGAACCTAGCAGGTGAGCAACAGCCCCCCAGGCCCTCTGGGACATCTTCGGGGAGATGGAGGCTCGTGTGGGGTCAATGCCCTGCAGGTCGGGGAGTTGGGGAGGCCTTGGGTGGGGGTCCGGGGGTTCCTGTCCTTCTGCCATCATTGCCTTTTTCATTTGGGCTTCCACCTCCATCTGGGACCTTGCACCCTTCATGGCAGCATGTGTGCCCCGTGACCCCAGGCTGGGCCCTCAGATCTGAGAACACGGTTAGGAATCTCCAAGGAGGGATCCACTAGGCCGGAGGCATCTTAGGTGGAACCCCTTCTCCGTGAGCCCAGGCCCCAGCCTTGCCTGCCCTGTGCTCACCTACCTGGCTCCCATTCCTCCAGCACCATGGGGCAGGTGGGTCGGCAGCTCGCTATCATTGGGGACGACATCAACCAGCGCTATGACTCGGAGTTCCAGGCCATGTTGCAGCACCTACAGCCGACAGCAGAGAATGCCTATGAGTACTTCACCAAGATTGCCTCGAGGTAGCCCCAGCCCTGGCCTCTCTACTGTGCTGTCGCCTTCACACGGTATCCTGCCCATGGGTTGGAAGAGACACGCTTCTCTGTCAGTGTCAAGAGACACCTGTGCCATTCCCGTACCTGCTGTTAGCTCACGCATGGTGTTGGTCCCCTGTCTCTCTCTCTCTCTCTGGGCCCAGACTCATCATCTTCAGTGTATAAGCTCACAGCTCCTGTGAGCTGAGGCACCGAGGACTTGACGGGATAGATCAGGACTCGAGAGGTGCCCAGGATCAGGATGTCCCCAGAGCTTCCCAGCCTCGCCGAGACACAGCTGTCCTTCCAGTTTGGAATCATATTCCCTACCAAAGACAGGCTGCTTGTGTCCTGGAAATGACTTCCCCTTTACTACCATCTGGTGTCTGAGAGGCAGTCTGCTGTAGTTAGTGAGACCACATGCCTGGGTCAAATCTCGGCTTTGCCACTTACGGGCTTTGTGAAACCCTCTGGCCCTCAGACACCGTGTCTATAAAATAGAGGAAGTAGGCTTAGAACAGTGGCTGTACTTACTGGTGTCATCTATTGTGAGATCTGGGTTAGGAGTCAGCCTCAAGGTGACTGACGCTGCGGTGAAAGTAGGGGTAGGCAACAGATTTAGGGTTAGTGCTCAGAGCTGGAACATCCTGCCCCGTCCTTCGAAGCCACACCTGCCCCTCTCGGATTCCAGGACCTATCCTAACTTCCTCTTTGTCCTTCTCTCTCTGCTGTCTCTCGGGCTGCCAGGCCAGCAGCAACACCCACAGGTAATCTCCCTGCTGCCTCCGTCTGCTTGCTCTGCCCTCCCTGCTCTCTGCCCCTCTATGCTCCCCACAGCACTGGGGCCACAATACAGCAGCAGCGCCCTGCTCCTCTGCCCTCTGAGTTTTTCTCCTTTCACAGAGATACAGGCTCTTCCCAAACTGAGGCCAGGCTGGGGCAGCCTCTGCCACCCTGATTCACAGCTAAGCCATTTTGCTTTCCAGCTGGGAGCAGGGCGGGTGGGTACCAGATGGTGGGAGAGGAAGAGCAGGCTGCGGGCCCTCTGGGGGTCTCCACTGACAGTATCACTATTCTGTCTGCAGCCTATTTGAGAGCGGCATCAACTGGGGCCGAGTGGTGGCTCTCCTGGGCTTTGGCTACCGCCTGGCCCTGCATGTCTACCAACGCGGCCTGACCGGCTTCCTGGGCCAGGTGACCCGCTTCGTGGCCGACTTCATGCTGCATCATTGCATTGCCCGGTGGATCGCGCAGAGGGGTGGCTGGGTAGGTGCCCAAGCACTGGCGACCTCCTCCCTGCTACTGGGACGCCTCTCTCTCCCAGCTCTGCCCCAGCCCTGGAGTGCCTATATTTTCCGTCAGCCCCACTGTGACCACTCTGTCTCTCCTGGCAGGTGGCAGCCCTGAACTTGGGAAACGGCCCCATCCTGAACGTGCTGATAGTGCTGTCTGTGGTTCTGTTGGGCCAGTTTGTGGTACGAAGATTCTTCAAATCATGACTCCCAGAGGGGCCCTTTGGGTCCTAGCTGACACCTCTGCCTGGACTTCAGCCAAGCCTTCTCCCTCACCACCACCACCACCCCCCCGCCCCCGCAGGGGCCCTCCTCAAGATTACAGAAGCTTTAGCAAGTGGGCACTCCAGTTTGAGAGGGCCCCTGCCCAGGGTCAGTCAGGCTGCCAGGGGTGCCCCAACATTGCATGGTGCTAATGGGCCCCCTCTCTGGGCCCCATCCTGTCAGAGACAGGTTGTATCCTTCTTCCTCAGCTCTCTGGGGCTCTCTCCACCCTGTCTTTGGGTACTGGGGAGACTGACAACTTGGGGAAGTAAGAGGCTGAGAGTCACTTTCCCCCAAATTTTTAATAGTTATAGCTTTTTTATAATGCCCTTGGAAGGACCCTCCCCACCATACCCACCACTCTGTCTAAGCCAGGATGTCTGAGGTGTGGGGGTTTAGTAGGCCACTCTATATTCCGTAGGACTCAGCTGTTCTAGAAGGTCAGAGCGTGACTACTGGGCCTGGAGCCCAGTCCTGGCCCTTCCTAAGCTCTCCCCCCTGCTCTCCCAGTGCCCCCACCTCATACTGCCTTTGCAGCAGACTCTCAGGGATTCTGGGTCTGGGTGGGATGAGGATGGCGTGGGGGTGCAGACCAGAGCTGTCACAACTTCATCAGCACCCCCTAAGTCTGCCTCCTGAGATCCTCAGTGTTCTTCCTTCCTCTCACATATTACCATTTAAACCCGACCTATTCACTACAAGTGAAGCCCACCCTGGCCCTATCACTTCAAACAAGGAAGGAGGGGCCTTGGATAAGTGGAGTGCTGAGGTCCCCTTCTTGCCCAGACTGTAGAGTTTAGAACTAGTTTGCTATTGTCAGGGAAAGAGGGTAAGGAGCTCATCTGGAGGTTTCTGAGTGAGAAAAGGGCTGTTAATGTCACTAGGAACCCCAGGGTTGGGATCCTCCCTTGTGGCCTGGGCACAGTGTAATCTGGGGGTGTGGATGGAAAAACTGAATACTTGAACTCGACCCTCCAACCCCCCACTTTTCACACTCCTCACCTGCCTAAGCCCCTTCTGTGAGTGGAGGTGGAAATACCTTGTCTATCTTGCACAGCCTACAGGTCTGGGGGAAAGGAGAGAGAAGTTCATGATTAAGCCAAATGCAGGGAGCGGATGCAGATGGAGCTCGCTGACCAGCCCCCACCCTCTGAGTGTGTCTGAAAATAAACTGTAATCCCCTGATTCCATATGCTAATTTCTGTATCCTCTGCTACCCCTCACTCCACCAGGCTGGACTAGGAGAACCCAGGCATGCCTGGCATTCACCCGGGTTATTACTGAATTAGAGCTCATTATTAGGCCTCCACAAACCTGTAGAAGGCTGGGTATGATTCTCCCAGTCCCTAGCTCCCTACAAGGCCTTGGTCCCTCCCCAGGCACCTCCCTCATCTCTTGTGTCCCAGGCAAGTTTCCCACCCCTTAGGAAATTAGGGTGCTGGGCTCTGCCTGTGGACCTGGTAGGGCAGTTGCATGTCTGGGGACTCCTAGAGGCCTCCGCCAGGCCTGATTTGAATGCCTCTCCCCGGGGCCACTATCCATCCTGGCCCAAAAGGCCCTTCTCCCTCACACCTGGCTCTCCCTGGGACACAGTGTCTCAGTCCCCTCTTCCCCATGTCCCCCACAACTAGCACACACACACACACACACACACACACAGGGCTTTTCGTTCCAGGAATTTTGTGCTGCATCCCAGTCCCTATGGGAAGGCAACGAGGGGTAATAAAAATAACAAGCACGGGGGCGTTCAAATGTTCCTACTAAGTCTTTCCAGTCCTGGGCATCCCGGTCTGTGTTTCTGACACCCTTCCAAAATGGTCACATGCAGGGATCCCTGGGTGGCGCAGCGGTTTGGCGCCTGCCTTTGGCCCAGGGCGCGATCCTGGAGACCCGGGATCGAGTCCCACATCGGGCTCCCGGTGCGTGGAGCCTGCTTCTCCCTCTGCCTGTGTCTCTGCCTCTCTCTCTCTCTCTCTGTGACTATCATAAATAAATTTAAAAAAAAAATCAAAATGGTCACATGCAAATCCTAAAGGGCTTAGGGGCTTCACCTTCACTGCTTGAGGGCATCTTGCAGTCCCCTCTCCCTTTGGACTCGGGTCTTACCAAAGTCCACTACACACTGCCCTCAGGGCGATCCCCCCGCCTGTTCACCCCGCAATCTGCAGGAAAAGCTCCTAGACGACCTACAGGGAACACACTCCATGCCAGGCCTTGTGCTGAGAAATTTATCATACACGCCCAATCAGTAAGTATTAGAATCAGTGACCTGAGGGGTTGGGAGGTGAGGCTGAGGCTTAAACTCCTACTTTACAGATAAAGGAAACTGAGGTACCTGCCCAGAGTCACCAGGTAGAAGGGGCAGGAGCCGGCACTTGCCACCGCGATACTGGCTCGAAGTTTTACGTAGAGGCCGGCCAGGTGGGGACGAGGCCTTTGGTCTCCAGCACAAGACCGCCAAAGGCTCAAGAGGGGCGGGGTGGCGACTCGCCTCCGTCCACCCGCGCGCAGCCGCGGCGCCACCGCCCCAGGAAGGCGGAGACCGCGAAGGTGGGCGGGCTGCCAGGATCCAAGATGGCCGCTGCCGCCCCAAGCACGCCAGCGTGCCCTCTGGTGGGCGGGGCCTCAGGTGCACCTGCCCCGCCGGCCCGGCCGGGTTTTGAGAACCGCTTGAGGGCGTTTCTACCGCTGGAAGAAAGGCGGCCGGCAGCGGCAGGGGCTGTGGCTTTCTCTGTCCCTGTAAGGGAGGACTTGGAACTCCATCCTGAAGGCGTGAGGAGCCCCAAAATGTTTGGCCTGAGTCTACCCCGACCCCCACCACTCCGCCCTTTGTTCTGCCTGGATGAAGTTGCCAAAACCGAAATCTCAGCGCATTCCGGGGCTGCCGGAAGCGAGACGTGAGAAGTTGAGAGGCACAGAGAAAGGCAGAGGTCCTGCGGGTGCAGGGGAGCAGATGGATTCTGCGGGTTTTAAGGAAGTTAAAATCTCAAAATTCTGGTTCTTCTGAAATTGTAGCTTCTTTTCCATCAAAGAGGTCTAGATTCCTGTCTGTGGGGGCACTGCACGGGGACAGTACAGCCCCAGGAGAGAGGCGTGTCCAGGTGTCATCTGCTCAGCTGTGCAGTGTGGGTATAAAGCCTGCCTTGCCTTGTACCCAGAGCCTCCCTTGTCTCCCTGCCTCCCCACCCCACCCCCACAGTTTACCTTCACGTGTCTGCTGTTTTACCTCCTCCTTTGGTGTCCATCCAAACAAGAAAATTCTTCCTTTGCCCAAACCACTCAGTGAGTTGAAAGTAAGTTTTTATGACCCAACGGAGTAGCATTAAAATAAAATTAATTCATTCACTAATTAAAAGAAGCCATCACCATATCCTGCTCCAGTTGTACATACCTCAGATGTAAAGGCCCCTGATCAAAGACACTTGTAAAATATGGATTTAATTCAGTCTAATTCGGTGTGTGTGTGTGTGTGTGTGTGTGTGTGTGTGTCAAAGAGAGACAGACAGTGAGGAAAAGAGGAAGAGATGGAATGGAGTTACCAAAGATTGCTGGAAGTGTCCAAAGGAACCAGGAAACTAGCAAACCCAGCTTCTGGGGCATGTTCACCAATTGCTAGACATGTTAAAAAGGTAAACACCAGACCCCTGGCATATTAAAAATGCCGGGGTGGGGGTTCTGCCCTCAGATAATAGGAAACAAAAAGCAGTGATCTGGCCTACTGAGCATATATGACCGGTAGCAGATCCACAGCAAATTGTGTGAATGATCCAGTAGAGAAGCAGCTTCATCAGACCAAGATCAGGTGATGAACTAATGTGAGAAGAAATGGACTTTTCTGAGAAAAGTCACTTAAGAGCTGAAGGGACTAAAGCCATAGCAGGGGCTGTGGCTTCCTCTGCCCCTGTACGGAAAGAGTTGGAACTCCATCCTGAAGGTGTGGGAGCCCCAAAACGTTTGGCCTGAGTCTACCCCGACCCCCTCCACTCTGCCCTTTGTTCTGCCTGGACGAAGTTTCCAAAACTGAAATCTCAGCGCATTCCGGGACTGCCAGAAACGAGGTGTGAGAAGTTGAGAGGCACAGAGAAAGGCAGAGAGACCCCTGCTCTCTCTCTCTTTCAAATAAAATCTTTCTCCACCTGAAGTATGGGATTTGGTAACCAAATGGATGCCTATGAGGATGTGAAGGCATGTGTGACATCTAGAGAATAACATTTGTGGGTTTTTTTACTTTTTGATTGTTTTTTGATTTTTGTTTTGTTTTTTGTTTTTTTAAAAGATTGGTTTTTTTATTTTTTAAAAGATTTTTTGCTTATTTATTTGAGACAGTGAGAGAGAACAATTGGGGGGCGGGAGAAGAGGGAGAGGGAGAAGCAGACTCCCCACTGAGCAGGGAGCCCAATGTGGGACTCGATCCCAGGACCCTGGGATCATGACCCAAGCCGAAGAGAGACACCCAACGGACTGAGCCACCCAGGCGCCCTGGAGAGTAACATTTGAGGGAACATCCATTGTTGAAATCAATAGGCAAATCAGAATATTTCTCATCTCCACTTACCTCAACTCTTGCTTTGCAATCTTGGAATCATCCCTGGTGCTTAATGCCTCAGGTTTTCCCAGCTGTGGCTAAGAACACAGCACAAAGGCAGTTCTTCAAAGCTGCCTGCTCTATTGCATCACAAAAAAAAAACTCCTTTTGCAAAGTTCAGACTAATGTGGTGATTGGCTGCATGGAAGCTATGCTCACCAACCTTGTCATGTTTTGATCTGACCCCTTTCTCACTTGACCTCTGGCCTTCTGAGAACAATTTCTCCAATTCATTTCTGGCAGATGGGTAGGCTTCCTCCAGAATGGGAACATTTTCTTGCTAAATTCTCAGGTGGACCATACCAGGGAAAGGCGGGAGGATTTGACATGTTCAGCATCTCTGAATTGTGGATATTGTGAATCAGAGTGCAAGGCATGCTCTGGGTTGAGCTTAGAGATGTGGGTTCCCATGGCTGCTGGAAAAGAATGAGGCTTCCAAAACCTGAATAATACTGCTACTGCCCTACGACCCAGCAATTGCACTGTTGGGGATTTACCCCAAAGATTCAGATGCAATGAAACGCCGGGACACCTGCACCCCGATGTTTCTAGCAGCAATGTCCACAATAGACAAACTGTGGAAGGAGCCTCGGTGTCCATCGAAAGATGAATGGATAAAGAAGATGTGGTTTATGGATACAATGGAATATTCCTCAGCCATTAGAAACGACAAATACCCACCATTTGCTTCAACGTGGATGGAACTGGAGGGTATTATGCTGAGTGAAGTAAGTCAATCGGAGAAGGACAAACAGTGTATGTTCTCATTCATTTGGGGAATATAAATAATAGTGAAAGGGAATATAAGGGAAGGGAGAAGAAATGTGTGGGAAATATCAGAAAAGGAGACAGAACATAAAGACTCCTAACTCTGGGAAATGAACTAGGGGTGGTGGAAGGGGAGGAGGGCGGGGGGTGAGGGTGAGTGGGTGACGGGCACTGAGGGGGACACTTGACGGGATGAGCACTGGGTGTTATTCTGTACGTTGGTAAATTGAACACCAATAAAAAATTATTTTATTAAAAAATAAAAAAAATTAAGTTAAAAAAAGTACTGCTACTGGGCTGTGTGAGAGAAGAGTTGTGTGCAGGCTCAAAGCCAAGTGCTATCCTGGTAAGGGTATGGGGCAAACCACTTGGGTGTATAGTGATATATAGTATATAGTATAATATATATTGTAATGGAACAGATTGTCTTCACATGACCTTAGAATCCTTAACATATCCTTAAAATACAAGATACAAATATGATGCACATTGTTTAAGTAATCTCTATGCCCAATGTGGATTTTGAACCCATAACCCTGAGATTAAGGGTCATAGGCTCCACCAACTGAGCCAGACAGGCACCCCTATTTCTATTTTTTTACACAGTGAATCATCTCAAAATCCTACTGTGGGCAGTGGAGGGATGAGGGTGAGGAAGGGGTTGCCTCTCTGAAGAAAGCCAGTTTTCCTGTGTTTCACAAAACTGCCTCCTAGATATGCCCCCTGCCCCTTACACTTAGAAGAAGGAGAGACTCTGGAATTTCTCCAATTTAATCTGAGTTTTGGGGAAAGATTGTAGTGACAGAAAAGGAGAAAGAAGTAAATGAACATGTGCTGAGTTATTGTACTTATGTCAGAAGTCTCGTTTGGCTGTACTGTCACTAAGACAGAAATTACTATGCCCATTTTATAGATGAAGCAAATATATATAATATATATATGTTATAGATATATACTAAAGAAAGAACAGGATGGTATAAGATAATGGTCAGTTGCATCATTCACTCTATCATGTGTTATTTTTATTATTTTGCATAGATAAATAATATAAATTAATACATTGATTAGTTTCATTTAAATCTGGGTTTACACGCAGAAGGATAATTATCAAGGACGTCTGGGTGGTGCAGTCGGTTAATCTGACTTGTGGTTCGGCTCAGGTCATGATCTCAGGGTTGTGAGATCAAGCCCTGAGTCAGGCTACGTGCTCAGCACAGTTTGCATGAGATTCTCTCTCCTTCTACTCATGCTCACTCTCTCTTTCATATAAAATAAATAAACCTTTAAAAAATAGAAGGATAATTATCAGGCTGTTCTTTAGTTGTAGGGACAAATCAGTAAGATGACTGTAGAATTGTGGCAAGAAAAATATGAACAGAAAACATTTTTATTCTGCCATATTGGGAAGGAAAATAGAAACGACTATATAAAAAGAAGTCCATAATATTACTTCATTTGTGTAAGGTTAGCAAAAAGATTTTTTTTAAGAGAGAGATAGAGAGTTGGAGTTTCAAGGAGGAACAGAGGGAGGTGAGAGAGAATCTTAAGTAGACTCCGGGTCAGCACAGAGCCCAAAGGGTGGGTTGATCTCAAGACCCTGAGTGGAAACCAAGAGTCAGACGCCCAATAGATTGAGCCACCCAGGAGGCTTAAGGAAAAAATTTTTGAAAATTGAGATAGTCTGTATACATGTTTTTAATATGTATAATATTTAAGAGAAGTTGGCATATTAAAGAATCTGACAGATTAGTCTTGTGATTTCAAATTGAATTGTGTAATTTATTTTAGACTTGTAATTTGAAGCTGAAAGGTATAAGATAATTTGATTATGTTTGTAAACAGTATTGAAATCTTTAAGATAACTTGATTTGCCACACTTAAAAAACTTGAAATATTAGGTTTATGAGAGTCATTTACATGCTTGAATTTTTTCTTGTTTGACGTATAAATTGGCCATATGAGGAATTTGAAGTGCTTGAAAAAAATCAAGTATATTAAATTTGTAAATGTAGTTTAAATATGTAAGAGAACTTAGTTAACTTTGTAAATGGCAAGAGTAATGTTCAAGCAGATTTAATATGTCAAGCCCATGGGCTAATTGAACATTAATCAAGGAACAAGTTATTGCTTTTATTTTTATACGAAAATTACAAGATTTCTAAATAGAACATCAAAGTTATGCAAGTTCAACTTAAAAACTTAAGAAAATCTGTTTGTAAATTTACAACTTTAATTAATTGAAAATTTATTTAAACACAACCAATTGCAAATGCTGTAAATGAACCCAAGTTTGTCTGCCCAATGCATGGCAAAACCAATCACTGAAACATCAAGTATGCAGCAGGGAAAAGATTTATTCGAAAGGCAGCAAAAAGGGGAAACAGAGGTTGGTTCAAATCTGTCTCCCCTGAGTGAAATTAGAACAAATGTTTATAATCTTAGGGGTGGGATTACATACATATTGATGCAAAAGACAGGGAGATTTATGACTATTCATGAGGAAAGATGGAGCATGTGCATCCCATGTTCACTTTAGGGTGGAGATACAACATTAAAACGAGGCACAATTGGGTGCCTGATGTCAGGAAGTCAACTGTAGGACAAGAGGGGCTATGCCCATCTCTGAAAGGAAGTATATACTGCATAAATTCTTGGGCTCATTATCACAGGGAAGGAATGCAGGGCATTGGTGTCAGTGAGCCTCATTTATATCAGTCCAAGCCTCAATGGAAACAATTAGTGGATTTGTTGTGGGGTCTGAAACGAAACAATAGCTGATTAGGGAGAGACAGGCCTCCGAAAAACAAGCTTTAAATTTCCTATTAGTCTTAACCTCATTAATCCTATGGGGCACATTTTCAGTCCCCCCAGAGTTATGATCATTCCTCAGTCTTGAAGGAATTGGGACAATGACTGCTCTGGCTACTTCCTGCAGTTTCAGGGTTTGAGGAATGAAACTACTTTGCACTTTGTTGGAAGTATTCCCTAGTATTTGGCTTAACATGTACATTCTGCATGACCAAAACATTAGTTTCTTCTTTGGCCATTTTAGAGCAACATTGGAAAGCACATCTTATTAGTACAGATACAATTAATGAAATGAAAAGTATAGATAACCCAAATCTGAGTAGTCCTTGTAACATTGCTAATCCCTTGGGGAATCCAGAAAAAGAGTCCAGTAATCCAGTCACTTTTTCCAGGCACCTCTGGCGAAATTTGCTATGGCCAAGTGGCTTGCTCTCTGATTTTATCTAAATGAGATTTTAGTTTTTACTGCAGCAGAAGCGTTAATATAAACACAGCGAGTTGTGTTAGCAATGGCATTCTATCCTGTTCTGCAAGAATATAGTGCAAAGCAATGTGATTATCAAGTGCTACCTTAGCTAACACATTTACTTTCTTTTTGTTGGGCAACAATGGTAAGAGCAGCTTTGTCGGCCAACTAAAAATGTTCTCCCAAAAGAATACCAAGATCTAGCCTCTTGATAACCAGGCAAGTAATCCCTATCTGGTGTCGATTCCCTTTTCGCTCAATAAAAGGTCTAAAAGTGAACAGAGAAAGGAGTAACCAAATTCCCTAGTGTGTAGACCCCTCCAATTCTCCAAATTATCTAGCTAGTACCTAGCTAGATAAGCCCAGGATTGGTTAGGAGTAATGAGAAGGTCCCTCTTTTGACCAAGATTTTTTTTCTTACAAAAACATCACAAATCAACACTGTTCCCTCATATTCATTCTGGACTGTAGGTACAAAGTCGGCTCCATACATCATGAACCAGTCTCAGTCTTGAGAATAGGTCAGTTCAGTTAAACAGCTGGCTCATCTCAGGAGGTGGTTCCTGCAGGTGGGTTCTCAGGCCTATATTACAGAGGCAATAAGAAATATTTCTGTGGAAACAAAAAGAAAAACACAGGTTAATGTTATAAATCCAGTGTTTGAGTCCCGAGTGCTGCCAGTGAGAAGATTTCTAGATGTCAGGCTTCAAGCATCTTCAGATGGAGTGAGGGCAGGCAGTGGCAATCTGATAGTTTTTCCCCATTTGCAGTTTGAATGTCTCTGGTCATCTTCTTGAGTGGCCCATACGGTAACAGGCACTAAGATTGTCTACACATGGCCATTGTGGCAATTTCTCTAAAATTTACTTCAAATTGTTCAGCTTCAGTTTTTCAGGGCTTTAGGAAAAAGGACAGTTTTGGTTCTCAATGATTCCAAGTCAAGAGAATGGGGAAAAATTTTAGTTTAGAGAGTCATAGTCAGGTATTTGAGGAAACCAGAAGAATTCACTATCCAGCCCATTAGTTCTGGAAATTCTTACTCAGCTTAGTTTTATGATCTTAAAGGTATCAAAAACTTGTATTCGCCGAGTCCTTTCTGTGAATATCCCTGAAGCTGAAATACATTTGCAGGAGCAACAGATTAAAACAATAACCGTAAATGACAAGACTCAAAAATGGCCATGGTTAAAGATCTGATGAGAGTTCATTATAATGCAGGTGACAAAGAAATCTGGTTATTTCTGTGACACATAACACTTCGATAATTAGAATTACAAATGGCTGGCTCAATTGGTAGAGCATGTGACTCAATCTCAGGGTCTTGAGTTCAAAACCCACATTAGGTATAGAAATTTCTTAAATAAATTTTTAAAAAGTTTTTTGACAATCTGTGAGACCTTCTCTGAACAGTATGCAAAGGCTTAACCCAACGTGTAAAAGTCTACAAATACTAGCAAACATTGAAAATTATCTGTTATTCTCCGCATCATGGTGAAGACCATCTGCTGGTCCCCTCCAGGTTCAGTGCTTTTGAGTTCTATGTATGTATGTATGTATGTATGTATGTATGTATGTATTTAAAGTAATGTCTACACCCAACATAAGGCTTGAACTCACAACTTCAAGATCAAGAGTTGGATGTTTTACTGATAGAGACAGCCAGGTGCCCCCTAGTTTTATACCTTTTAGGACTGGTGGGGACACAATCCTAGGATTATTCTTAGCACAAATGTCACATTTCTAGACTATCTTTTGGATAATTCTCTGGAGTTTGGGGTTCACAATATATCTTATACCCACTGAAAAGTAGCATCTCACTCATAATGGTGCTTTGGTGAATATGACTATTTCTTCCATAAGATGTTCTGGGATAAGGAATACTCCTTATTCACTATATTTCTAACTGACTTTTTTTAAAAGATTTTATTTATTTATTCTGAGAGAGACAGAGAGAGAGAGAGGCAGAGACACAGGCAGAGGAAGAAGCAAGCAGGCTTCAGGGAACCCGATGTGGGGCTCGATCCCAGGACTCCAGGATCACGCCCTGAGCCAAAGGCAGACACTTTAACCACTGAGCCACCCAGGCATCCCTTCTAGCTGACTTTCGTGCCAGCATTGTTCCCAAATCCCCATTCCTTAGCTCTTCTTAGGTCTTCCAAGGAATATCTGGGTTGGCATTTAGTTAGGTCTATGTCCGGCACTAACGGCATCATAGAAGGTTTTGGAGACTTCATATGGGCTGCCACCTTGGTGACAAGATCAGCCTGATTATTTCTTTGAGCTATATAATTATTAGGCTTCTTATATCCTGGGCAAAGGACTACTTCCAGTTCTGGTTATATTATAAGCATAATTCTCTCCATTTCATTACTGCAGTTGATAAGTTTAGAACTTCTTCGGTGTGTCTAATTTGTTTCTTATAGTTAATAATTCTCTTTCTTTCCATATGGACCCATGTGCATGAATCACTGAGAAAGCATATTTTGAATCTATATATAAAGTTACCTTTTGCCTTTACCAAATAAAGGGCCCTTGTTACGGCAATGAGTCCTGCCTTTTGAACAGAGGTATCTGGTGGAGGAGTTTCCACCTCCGAAGTTCCTTAGCTGGTAATCTCTGCATATCCAGTTTTCTGTTGTCCTTGGCCCATGAAGCTGTTTCCATCAGTAAACATTTCCATGTCAGGATCCTACAATGGCACAACAGTTAGGTCCAGACAGCTAGAATAAGCTTGCTCAACTATTGAATACAATCATAAATGGGTTCTTCTGCACTAACAAGTAGCAAGGTAGCAGGATTTAAAGTGAAGACAGCCTTCAAAGTAACATTGGGGTTATCTAGTAAAGTGGCTTGGTATTTGTCCAGTCTTCTAGATGCTAACCAATATTCCTCTTTTTGCTTTAGTAAGAGAAGCACACAGTGGAAGGAGTATAGACAGTGATGGGTTGGCCCAAAGTAAAATTTTCTGCTTCTTTTACCAGATCACAAGTGGCAGCTCTTAAGCAGACAGGCCATCCCCTTGGTATCAGTGTCCAATTGCTTTGAGAAATAAGCATCAGATCTTCTAGTACAGCCAAGATTTTGGGTTAAGACTCCCAAGGCTATGGGACACCTGGGTGGGTCAGCGGTTTAGTGCTGCCCTTCAGCCCAGGTCATGATCCTGGATTCCCGGGACTGAGTGCCACATCAGGCTCCCTGCATGGAGCCTGCTTCTCCCTCTGCCTGTGCCTCTGCCTCTCTCTCTGTCTCTCATGAATAAATAAATTAAAAATCTTAAAAAAAAAAAAGACTCCAGGGCTAATAATTCCTTGTCATTCATGAACAGATAGATCAAAAGGCTAATTCTTAATATCCAGGAGGCCCAATGCAGTTAACAACTTTTCTCTGATAATCCAAAAGGTCTTGTGACATTCTCTAGTCCAATCAAGAAGACCCAATGGGTCAATGGGAAGCTGGGGTGAGCAAAGTTGGTGACACTCATGCATATTAAACTTTATGGCAGGGCAGCCCGGGTGGCGCAGCGGTTTAGCGCCGCCTGCAGCCCAGGGCGTGATCCTGGAGACCCTGGGCCTGCTTCTCTCTCTGCTTGTGTCTCTGCCTCTCTCTCTCTGTGTCTCTATGAATAAATAAATAAAAATCTTAAAAAAATAATAAAATAAAATAAACTTTATGGTGGTGTAGAGATTCTGAATTTCAGTACCCACCAAAGGAACAAGCGAAAAAGGAGCATTCAGCCCATTCTCTCCGCCTTCTTGGAATTTGGCCTCAATCAGCCCGTGAAGATCTCCATACAATTCACCTATTTTTCCTCTTACAAAAATCAGGCACTCAAGTGCTTCATAAAGGGGTTTAGCTATCAGGTCAAACAAATTTAGGTATCCAAATTCAACAAAACCCAGTCATTCATAGAAACCTGCGCAATTGGGCAGCCCCAGTGGCGCAGCGGTTTAGCGGTTTAGGTCCCGGAGACCTCGGATCGAGTCCCACATCGGGGTCCCTGCATGGAGCCTGCTTCTCTGTGTCTCTCATGAATAAGTAAAATAAAATCTTAAAGAAAGAGAAAGAAAGAAAGAAAGAAAGAAAGAAAGAAAGAAAGAAAGAAAGAAAGAAAGAAAGAAAGAAAGAAAGAAAGAAAAAGAAACCTGCACAATTGTCTCCTGCATGTAGGGACTACCATTCAGACTAGAGCCTCCCTTCTATCAGGGAGCAGATTTCTTTGTCTCTTTGAAAACTCAAAACCGTGCTATTTCATTGGGAGATTTGGGCCTTTTTCCTTGCAACTTTGTAACCTCCCTCAGCCAATATGTCTAGAGTCAAAATAGTATTGAAGTGTAAAGACTCTTGTTTTACTCAGCAATGAATATATCATCCACGTAATGGAGGAGAGTCTCCATCTCTAATTAGAGGTTTCTCAGATCTTTAGCTAGGACTTCCCCAAAAATGGTGAGGGAGTTGTTAAAACCTTGGGGAAGGATTGTCCAGCAATACTGTTGCTTACTCTTGGTCTCAGTGGTCTTCAGTTCACACAAATCTAAACCAAGAAAAATGCAAAATAAAGCATCCTTTAGATCCAGAGCAGTGAACCACCTAAAGTCCCCAGACAAGGTTGTTAAGAGTATGTAGATTGGGTAGCACCCGGTGGATATAGTCTGCAATATGGTTAATGTATACCTCTTAAGTCTTGAGTGCCTGATTTTTGTAGAGGAAAGATAGGTGAATTGTATGGAGATCATCACAGGCTGATGAGGCCAAATTCCAAAAAGGCAGGGAGAATGGGCTGAATGCTCTTTTTTTCACTTGTTCCTTTGGTGGGTACTGAGATTCTGAATCTCTACCCACCACAAAGTTTAACATGCATGAGTGCCACCGGCTTTGTTCGCCCCAGCTTCCCATTGACCCAAACATCTGATCTTAGCTTGTGTGTGTGTGTGTGTGTGTGTAAAGTGATCTTACCTTTTGGATAACTTCTTCAGGAAGCTTTGATAGGACTTATCTACCTTCATGTAGTAACATTGCTTGAAAGGCACCAGCTTGCTCTGGGGGTACTTTTTTATCCAGGTGACCAGGTACAGAAGTAGCTTCAGCATTAAATTTAGTTAACAGGTCACATCCCAGTAAAATAATGGGACATTCAGGCATATACAAAAACCTGTGTTTAAAGTGAAATTGTTCCATCTGTCAGGCTAGTGGTTGTAAGAAGGTTTTAGCCAACACTTCTCCCTGAGACTCTTGCTACAGCCATGGTTTGATCTGATAGCAGAGAGAGCCAGGAGTTCAGTACTGAATCTGTGTCCCCAATATCAATAAAAAAGTCTGTAACTTCATTTTCCACCTTCATTGTTATCTGGGGTTCCTTGTAGGAAATGATGACAAGCTTTTCAAGGTTTAAAGGAACCCCTGAGCTCCTTCATTCTTGGTCACTATCAGTCAATTCAGGCATCTGGTGGGCAGTTTGTTGTTCTGTCCCGTTAAGAGACCTTGTGAACTTGGGGCATTCCTTTTTCAAATGGCCTTCTTTGAAGCCCCAAATTGAGACATCCTGTGGGGCCCAAGAACCTCAAATTTCTTATCTGGGTACACCTCATCCTCATTGTGGTCCTCAGCCTGGTCTTGGTTTTCCTTGAATTAGGGCAACAAATAGAAAGGTAGCCTGCTGTTTCATTTTCTATGCTCTTTTCTCTTTTGCACATGGTCTGTTAAAAACTTTAAAGATAGGGCCACCTGAATGGCTCAGTCAGTTGGGCATCTGACTCTTGATTTCAGCTCAGGTCATGATCTTAGGGTCGTGGGATTAAGTCCTCCATTAAGCCCCACACTGGGCTCTGTGCTGAGCATAGAGTCTGCTTGGGATTCTCTCTCTCCCTCTGCCTCCCCACCTTCTCTCTCTAAAAAAACAAACAAAACAACATTAAAAGCAATCTCAACCAATTGTGACACAGACATTCTTACTCTCTAGACTTTGGAGTTTCTTTTGAATGTCTAGGATATTTTGCCCCCGCCATGTCATATTTATCATTTTTAAATTCTCTGGTGCCACAGGATCCATATCAGTATATCTCCTATATATCTCAAAAATCCTTTCAAGAAAGTCTGAAGGCTCCTCATTCTGTTTTTGCTTTATTTCTTTTTTTAAAAAACAATTTATTCATTTGACACAGAGATAAAGAAAGAGAACATGTGCACAAGCAAGGGAGTGGCAGGCAGAGGGAGAGAGAAAAGCAGGCTCCCCACTGAGCAGAGAGATGGGGAGATGGGGCTCCTTCCCAGGACCCCAGGATCATGACCCAGGCTGAAGGCAGAAGCTCAACAGACCGAGCCACCCAGGCACACTATCTTTTTTTTTTTTAAGATTTATTTATTTGAGAGAGAGAGAGAAAGACAACGAGCAATGGGAGGGGCAGCAGGAGAGGATCACGAGCAGACTCCCTGAGATCATGACCTGAGCCAAAATCAAGAGTCAGATGCTTAACTGAACAAGCCACCAAGGCACCCGTTGCTTTATTTCTTAAAACTTACTCAAACTCCTTTGTTTAGGGACCCCCTTTCTTTTTCTTTTTTGTTCAAGTATAATTAATATACAGTGTTTTCTTAGTTTCAGGTGTATGATATAATGATTCAAAAATTTTATGCATTTTTAGTGCTCATCAAGAGAAATATACTCTTTTTAAAAACTTAGTCGCAACTTTATTTATTTCAAGTAATCTCTATGCCCAATGTGGGGCTCAAACTCAATACTCAGAAATCAAGAGTCACATGCTCCACCAACTGAGCCAGTCAGGTGCCTCAAGGTAAGTGCACTCTTAATTCCCTTCATCTATTTCACCCATCCCCCACCTGCCTCCCCTCTGGCAACCACCAGTTTGCTCTCTGTATTTAATTAAGAGTTTGTTTTTTGGGGCAGCCCAGGTGGCTCAGTGGTTTGACGCTGCCTTTAGCCTGGGACCTGATCCTGGAGACTTGGGATCAAGTCCCACGTCGGGCTCCCTGCATGGAACCTGCTTCTCCCTCTGCCTGTGTCTCTGCCTCTCTCTCTCCCTCTCTGTGTCTCTCATGAATAAATGAACAAAATCTTAAATAGAAAGAAAGAAAAACTATTTTACAAAGTTTGTTTTTTGTTTGTCTCTTTTCTTTGTGTTTTAAATTCCACATATGAGTGAAATCAGATGGTATTTGTCCTTCTCTGACCAATCTACCTATTTCACTTAGCATCATACCCTCTAGGTCCATTTATGTAGTTGCAAATGGCAAGGTGTCATTCTTTTTTTTTTTTTTTTCTCTTTGGTGTCATTCTTTTTAAGGCTGAGTAATATTCTATTGTATAAATATATCATATCTTCTTTCTTTTTTTAGAGATTTATATATTTATGAGAGAGAAAGAGCATGAGTGGGAGGGGCAGTGGAAGAGGAAGAGAGAATTTCAAGCAGACTCCTTGCTGAGGGTAGAGCCCAATGTGGGGTTTGATCCGACAACCCCAAGATCATGATCTGAGCCAATATCAAGAGTTAATTGCTTAACCAACTGCACCACCCAGGTGCCTTTATTCATCTATTGATGGACATTTGGCTTGCTTCCATATCTTGGCTATTGTAAATAATGCTGCAATAAACAAAGGGGTGCATATATCTTTTTGAATTAGTGTTTTCGTTTTCTTTTTTTTTAAATTTTTTTTAATTTATTTATTTATGATAGTCACAGAGAGAGAGAGAGAGAGAGAGGCAGAGACACAGGCAGAGGGAGAAGCAGGCTCCATGCACCGGGAGCCCAATATGGGATTCGATCCCGGGTCTCCAGGATCGCGCCCTGAGCCAAAGGCAGGCGCCAAACCGCTGCGCCCCTCAGGGATCCCAGTGTTTTCATTTTCTTTGGGTAAATACCCAGTAGTGGAATTACTGGATCGTATGGTAATTCTATTTTTAATTTTTGGAGGAACATTCATACTGTTTTCCACAGTGGCTGCACTGATTTGCATTCCCACCAACTGTGCATGAGTGTTTCTCTTTCTCTACATCCTTGCCAACAATTGTTATTTCATCTGTTTTTGATTTTAGCCATTCTGACAGGTGTAAAATGATATCTTATTGTGCTTTTGATATGTATTTCCCTGATGATTAGTGATTTTGAGCATCTTTTCATGTATCTGTTGGCCATCTGTATGTCTTCTTTTGAAAAATGTTTATTCAGGTCTTCTGCCTTTATATTTATAAATCAATTTATAATCAAATTGTGTGTGTATCTGTGTGTGTGGAGAGTTGTATAAATTCTATATTTTTTTAAAAGATTTTATTTATTTATTAATGAGAGACACAGAAAGAGAGAGGCAGAGACATAGGCAGAGGGAGAAGCAGGGAGCCCAATGCGGGACTCGATCTTGGAACTCCAGGATTACGCCCTGAGCCAAAGGCAGATGTTCAACTGCTGAGCCACCCAGGCATCCCAAGTTCTTTTTTTTTTAATTTTTATTTATTTATGACAGTCACAGGGAGAAAGAGAGAGAGAGGCAGAGACACAGGCAGAGGGAGAAGCAGGCTCCATGCACCGGGAGCCCGATGTGGGATTCGATCCCCGTCTCCAGGATCGCGCCCTGGGCCAAAGGCAGGCGCTAAACCGCTGCGCCACCCACGGATCCCCCAAGTTCTATATATATTGTAGAGTTGAAGAAGTTATATGTTTTCAGTATCAACCCTTTATCAGATACATCATTTGCAAATATCTTCTCCCATTCTGTAGGTAGTTTTTTTTATTTGTTAATGGTTTCCTTCACTGTATAAAAGCTTTTTATTTTGGTGTAGTCCCAATAGTTTAATTTTTAAATTCATTCTACAAGGCCAGAATTTCCCCAAAAGCCAGACAAAGACAAAGAAAGGAAGAAAGGAAGAAAGGAAGAAAAAAAAAAGAAAGAAAGAAAGAAAGAAAGAAAGAAAGAAAGAAAGAAAGAAGAAAAGAAAGAAAAAGAAACAAAGGAAGGAAGGAAGGAAGCTAGCTATAGGCCAATATCTCTGATGAACATAGATACAAAAATCCTTAACAAAATATTAGCAAACTAAATCCAACAATATATTTAAAAAGTCATTCACCATGATTAAGTGGTATTTATTCCAGGGATGCAAGAGTAGTTTAATATTCACAAATCAATCAATGTGATACATCACATTAACAAGAGAAAGGGTAAAAACCATCTGATCATTGCAATAGATGCAGAAAAAGCACTAAACAAAATAAAACATCCATTCATGATAAAAACTCTCAACAAAGTAGGTTTAGAGGTAACATACCTCAATAAAGGCCATATATGAAAAATCCATAGCCAACATCATACTCAGTGGTGAAAACCTGAGATCTTTTCCCTCTCAGGTCAGGAACAAGACAAGGATGTCCACTCTTACCACTTTTACTCAACATAGTACTGGAACTCCTAGCCACACCAATCAGACAAGAAAAAGAAATAAAAGGCATCCAGATTGGTAAGAAAGAAGTAAAACTTGGACTATTTTCAGATGACATGATACTATATATAGAAAACCCTAAAGACTCCACCAAAAAAATACAGGAACTGATAAATGAATTCAGTAATGTCACAGGATACAACATTAATACCTAGAAATCAGTTGCATTTCTATACACGAATAATGAAGTAGTAAAATGAGAAATTAATGGGATGCCTGGGTGGCTCTACGTTTTAGTGCCTGTTCAGCCTGAGGCGTGATCCCAGAGTCCCAGGATCAAGTCCCGCATGGGGCTCCCTGCATGGGGCCTGCTTCTCCCTCTGCCTGTATCTCTGCTTCTCTCTCTCTCTCTCTCTCTCATGAATAAATAAATAAATAAAATCTTAAAAAAAAGAGAGAGAGAGAAATTAAGAAAACAATCCCATTTACAATTGCACCAAAAAGAACAAAATACCCAGGAATAAACTTAAACAAGGAGGTGAAAGACCTATACTCTGAAAACTATAAAACACTGATGAAAGAAACTGAAGATAACACAAACAAATGTAAACAAAGCTATACCATGCTCATGGATTGGAAAAACAAATATTATTGAAATGTCCATACTGCTCAAAGCAATCTGCAGATTTAATGAGCTCCTATCAAAATACCAACATCATATTTCACAGAACTAGAACAAATAAATCCTAAAATTTGTATAAAACCACAAAAGACCCTAAGATAAGACCCAAGACCCTAAAGGATAGCCAAAGCAATCTTGAAAAAGAAGAACAAAGCTGGATGTATCACAATCCCAGATCCCAAGATATACTACAAAACTGTAGTAATCAAACATTATAGTACTGCACAAAAATAGACATATAGATCAATGGAACAGAATAGAAAGTCTAGAACTAAACTCATGCTTATATGGTCAATTAATCTATGACCATGGAGGCAAGAATATACAATGGGACAAAGTCTCTTCAACAAATGGTGTTAGGAAAACTAGATAGCTACGTGCAAAAGAATGAAACCGTATCACTTTCTTTCTTTCTTTTTTTAAGATTTTATTTTTAAGTAATCTCTACACTTAATGTGGGCTCTAACTCACAACCCTGAGATCAAGAGTCACATGCTCCACTCAGCAAGCCAGCGAGTCACCCCCACTTTCTTATACTATACACAAAAACAAACTCAAAATGGATTAAAGACCTAAGTGTGAGACCTGAAGCTATAAAACATGAAGAAAACATAGGCAGTAATTTCTTTGATATCAGCCACAGAAACATTTTTCTAGATACATTTTCCTCAGGCAAAGGAAATAAAACTAAAATTAAATTATTGAGACTACATCAAAATAAAAACCTTCTGCACAGTGTGTGAACCCCCTTTCTTAATCTAGCTAAAATACCACCAATAGTATTCAAACTTACCTCGGTCTCCAATGTTGACATTCCAGTTGGGATTCACAGTAGGAGGCTGGTTTCCGTAGTGTAGTGGTTATCACGTTCGCCTCACAGTAGGAACAGGCATCATGGCATTAGCTCTTAGGGAGTTATGGGGGTTTTAGCATGCAGCCAGGTAACTTCCCTAGCTTTTTTTTTTTTTTTTTTAGTATTAAGTGTCATTCCTCAGAAGTGAGGAGAATACTTAACAAATTTTGTATATCTTCCAAAGTGGGGTTCTGGGTGACAAAAATAGATGTGAATGAATTTCCATCCTCTTGGGGTCATCTCTGTAAGTAGGCATATTGTTTTTCCAGTTACACAAATTCAAGGTGGAGAGTGGACCCAAATCATCCCTACAGGAAATACCCCTTTCCCCTGCATTTAAGCCTCAGACTGGGACCTGCCTTAGCAGATATTATCCTCCCTGGGAACTTGCTCAATTTGACCAAATTGAGTTAGGGTATAAGAAGGGGAGATCATTCCTACCTGTTGGCCCCCTGAGTCTGAGCTTCATGGTTTGGGCTCTGTAAAGGGTTCAAGTTGTTGGGACTGGGACTGCTGAGGACAGGCAGTAGCTCTGGTGCCCCCCATAGAGTAGAAGGGAAGTTTAATCCAAGTAATCAATAAATCATCCTCCTCTCCCTGGTGAGGATTAGGCAACACGGGCTTTTTAGTGTTACTCGTTTGTTGGAATAGAATTTTACATCTTTTCTGAGCTGGCTTATTTGATACAAAAGCAAAAAATGACTGAACATCCCATTTACCTTCCCTTTTACAAAGGCAAATCTAATTGCAAGATGATATTATAATTTAAGGATCCATTAATTGGCTATTTTTTTCCAGAGTCTAATGAATATTGTAGTCAAGCAGTGTTGCAAAAGATCATCTTTTTCCTTTTCATAGGTTCACAACTAAACATTGTCCAGTTTTTGAGAATATAATCCAAAGGGCTGCATGCAGTGATCAAATTGTCATTCCCCATTTCCCAAATAGAACACAGCCAGTTTTATTCAAATACACCACAAACTGCAGGAACAAGTGAGGCCAAGAGTACCTCTGTGAACAAAGATTCACTAGTTTCATTCTAAAAGTTGGGGCTTTACCAACTGAGTAAATGGTTTCCTAGTCAACCTTTTCTTAAGTAAACAAGAAAAAGGCCAAGAGATATAAAGCCAAACCCCCTATTCATTCCACCAAATGAGAGGAAGAAAGAATTTGGTCACTTGTACTGAGTTACTCACTAAAAGGATGTCTGTCCATACGGAAACCAAAGCGATTTCCTTCCCAGAAGAGTTAAATTAAGCGCCTGAGGTCAGTGGAGTCAAATTGGGTTGGGGCCCCAGGGAAGGTCCCTAGGACAAAGAGCCTATGCGGCTTCTTGGACTCCTCACCAGACTCCCTTTAATAGGCTGGTGCAGTGGAACCAAGATCAAAGAGCTCCTGGCTGGCTCACCAAATTTGTGACCAATCCAAGTTCATATGACTAAAGTGCAGCAGAGCCAATCACTGAAATATCAAGTATGCAGCAAGAAGAGAGTTTATTCAAGAGGCAGCCAAAGGAGGGGAGACTGGCTGACACAGTCAAAAGACTGTGACTTTTGATCCTAGGATCATGAGTTCCAGCCCCAGGTTTGGCATTGAGCTTATCTGAAAAAAAAAGGAAAAAAAAAAAAAAAACAGGCAAAGGAGAAGGGAACTCAACCCTCAAAATCCTCTCCTCAAGGGGGAAGAGTCAGGGATATTTAAAGGTAAATGAAAAAGGACCTGGGTATAGGGAAGAGGAGCTACATGATTTTACAATCACATAAAGGGAGTTAATAAATAAGGGAAGGGGGCAGCCCAGGTGGCTCAGCACTTTAGCACCGCCTTCAGCCCAGTGTGTGGTCCTGGGGACCCGGGATCGAGTTCCAGGTCAGGCTCCCTGCATGGAGCCTGCTTCTCCTTCTGCCTCTCTTTTTCTCTGTGTGTCTCTCGTGAATAAATAAATAAAATTTATAAATAAATAAATAAATAAATAAGGGAAAGGTTGAAGTGATCTCACTGTCAGCATCTTCACAGATCTTCTGCTTGCCTCTTCATATGACTCATGATGAGAAAATAGCCCACTTGGTATGATTCCAGGGTAGGGTTTTAGGCCCTTCTATATCAAATATTCATCCATCAGACATTGGTGCATGCTCCAAGAGAAGGTTGGGGGTCCTAACTTGTTCTGATGGGTTTCTACTGAAACCTGAGTCTCTGCAAAATAACTAAACCATATTGTTATGCCAGGCAAGAATGTTATCTATAGAAACATGGCAGCAGGGCAGCCTCAGTGGCGCAGTGGTTTAGTGCCACCTGCAACCCTGGGTGTGATCCTGGAGACCCAGGATCGAGTCCCACGTCGGGCTCCCTGCGTGGAGTCTGCTTCTCCCTCTGCCTGTGTCTCTGCCTCCTCTGTGTGTGTGTGTGTGTCTATGAATAAATAAATAAAATCTTAAAAAAAGAAAAAGAAACATGGCAGCAGGTTGAATTCGGAGAATAGATTAGGGTAAAAAGTTACCCTTGCAGATTTTATTTATTTATGAGAGAGAGAGAGAGAGAGAGAGAGAGAGAGAGAGAGAGGCAGAGGGAGAAGCTGGCTCCGAGCAAGGAGCCTGATGTGGGACTCGATCCCTGCTCTCCAGGATCAGGCCCTGGGCTGAAGGCAGTGCTAAACGCTGAGCCACCCGGGCTGCCCTCTCTCTCTTTTTTAAGATTGTATTTATTTATTCATGAGAGACACACAGAGAGAGGCAGAGACACACAGGCAGAGGAAGAAGCAGGCTCCCTGTAGGGAGCCTAATGTGGGACTTGATCCGGGGTCTCCAGGATCATGCCCTGGGCCAAAGGCAGGCGCTAAACCGCTGAGCCACCCAGCCATCCCTCTCTTTCTTTTTTTTTTTTTTAAGATTTTATTTATTTATTTGACAGAGAGAATGAGAGAGCACAAGCAGGAGGAGCAGCAGGCAGAAGGAAAGAGAGAAACAGGCTCCCCACTGAGCAGGGAGCCCCTCAATCCCAGGACCCTGAGATCATGACCTGAACGGAAGGCAAACACTTAATGGACTCAGTCACCCAGGCCTCTCCCCGGCTAGCTTTCTAATAGCCTACTCAACTCAAATTCAAAACTCCCTGAGTCCATAGGCCAAAGCTAACCAGTTGCTCTATTAAACTTTTCTTGATAGCAAGACCATAAAAATGTTTTCTTTTGAGTGATTACAGAAAGGGGCTGTGTAACAAAAGCACAGTCCTCCTCAGAGATAAACAGTGGTGAACTTCATAGCACTTCCCTGAGGACAGGCTGAGATGCCACTAGGTGTGCCATTCAGTGGAAGGCTGGTTTCCTGGGCTCAGTTTGAGTGATTTGATATAGAATGAATCCATGATGATAATCCAGTTAAGAGTATTACAATGGGGGTCACAATATGGGGGGAGAGAGTGCTTATATGACAAAATCAAGTGGGGAAGTTGGAGACGACAAAAACACAAAAATATCAAACTATATGTAGAAAATTATAGGAGTAAAATTCTCTAAAATGTTAACAGTAATTATTTCCATATGTTTGGGGTGCCACAGGCTTTTCTCTCCCTCTCTCTTTTTAAAAGATTTTATTTATTCGTTCATGAGAGACACAGAGAGAGAGGCAGAGATGCGGGCAGAGGGAGAAGCAGGCTCCCTGCGGGGAGCCCGATGCGGGACTCGATCCCAGGACCCCGGGATCATGACCTGAGCCGAAGGCAGACGCTCAACCACTGAGCCACCCAGGTGCCCCCCTCTCTCTCTTTAGTTGTCCAACAGGAAATAGAATGGGCGGAAGGGAGTTTTAAAGATGACTGGCGTAAAACGTGAGGAGTGGAAGGCCAAGCCCCCAGGAACCTCCGGGGCCGGGCCGGGCCGTGCTGCAGGTCCAAGGCCGCCCGGCTACCCCGCGTCCCAGGGAGCGGCCCACCGAGAGCGAGGGGCGAGGTCCTCCGCGCAGCCTAGAGAGGCCGCGGTGGGCAGGGGCGGGGCCGAGGGCCGGCGGGCGCGCGGGCGAGCCGCGGGGACCCGGCGGCTGAGGGTCGGCGCGAAGCGTGCCGCTGGGGGCGCGCGTCCTGCGCTTTGCCCTCTGTTCTCCCGTTACCTCGCCTTGGCGGTGCAGCCGTGGCCGCGGCGCAGTAAGTGCGGGTTCCGAGGCCTCGGGCGGGGGTCATGCCCGGGGGGTCGGGGGTCGGGGGTCGGGGCCTGCCACCCTCGGCGCCCCTGCGCTCCCCGCGCCCGCCGCCGGACCTCCCTCCCCTCGAGTTCCCAGGCCTCCTTCTCCTTCGAGGAGCAAGTGTTGGTACGACCCGGGCCATAGCGGACCAGCCTGTTGCGGGGGCCCGGACCTTCGATGACGCGGACGTGGGCTTCAGAGACCACCTGGACGTGGAGTCACCTGGACTGGCCTGAGAAGGCCTTTTACACGGACAGACGGACACGCCGGGGCGCCGAGTCAGGACACTCCTGTGGCCCCAGGCAATGCGACTGGAAGGCCTCATTGCGGCTTCTCACTAACTGTGGACCTCTCTCGGCATTTTCCGTCTCCAGTGTGGTGGAACGCTTCAGGGTCTGGAGAGCTTCCAGAACTTTCTGGATAGCAGAGCTCAACCTTCTTCTGTTTTTGGTTTTTATTTTGGTCTTTCTTTCTTTCTTTCTTTCTTTCTTTCTTTCTTTTTCTATTTCTTTCTTCTTTCTTTCAAGATTCATTTGAGAGAGAGGAAGAGAGCACGAGTGGGAAAGGGGCAGAGGGAGAGAGTATCCAAGCGTGCTCCCACTGAGCCCCAAGCACCCGCTGGGGCTTGGCCTCATGAGCTGTGACATCATGACCTGAGCCAAATCCACAGAGGGATGCTTAATGTACCGAGCCACCTAGGCGCCCCGAAAGTGGACAGTCTTCTGAGCTTTGTCAGTTCTTGCCTTTCTCACACTGGAGTTCTGTGTAAGCACCCCACTGGTCAGGGTCCCAGGCCTGGGACTGACCCGTAGGTTTCTAGGGCAGCTGCCCACTGCCACTGTCTTTTTTTCATTCCAGAGGCACAAAATGGATTTGCCTGCCAGGTCCATCCCAGCCTCAGAGTATGTTATGCCCCTCAGAGCATATTTCTCGGACTTCTCTCGAATACAGGGAATCAGTCTTTAGTTCCTTTTATCACTATAATCCTGTCATCAGAATGATTTAATTAGATTAAATTTGGAGGGCTATTAAGGTGAAAGATTCGCATCTGGAGTTTCTCAGCCCCCACCCCCCATATTTCGTAGTTACAAAAGAAGTCCCCCAGTATAAATGTTGGAAAAAGTATGTACGAATGGATGGAGTTGAAATCTAACCTTGATATGAAAATGTGGCAGAAAAGAGATTCCCAGGGTATCTGGAATGCCAGAAACATAGCCCAGGCTTTCTACCCATTTTCTGTATTTCTCTGGTGATCAGCAGAAAAACCTTCATCTGAGAAGGTTATTTTAGGTTAGCGTGGACAGCAAGATAGTGGGAAGCTGGGAAGTCTACAGTTGGTCATGGGAAGATAGGAAAGAAGGAAGCAAATGGAATATCTAGAGCCAGTGAGAAGGAGCCAAGGGGCAGGAGCAAGGAGGAGGACAGTTTGCCTGCCTGGAGCCATGAAATTAGGGGGTTTGTCAGCAGTGTTGCCCTCATACCCTGATTCCTTAACATGCTGACCCTTTTCCTTGCCCATAAATAGGATTTTCAGTCTATAAAACTGAAGCAGTAAGCTATTTGGAAAGTGGGGAAGCCTTGTGTATCTGGACTGGACAAAACCATAGCCAGGTACGTGCAAGAAGGCCTTTGGGACCCCTGTCTTGTCTGCCTTCAACTTATACCCATTATAGTAGTAATTCTAAAGGCTTGTTAAGAATTAGGTTCATCCCAGTTAATTTTCTCCTCCTGGTTTATTTTATTTTATTTATATAGTTTGGTTTATTTTACTATTACCAATGACTATCCAAGCCTTTTCCCTCAGCACTGAACTCTGGTTCAGAGTCACTATGAAGGAAGACTTAAGATGGATTTCTTCCCACCCTCCTCAGGTCCCAGTGGATTTAAGATTTCTAAGTGAGCAGAGTGTAGTAGCATTTAAAGGTTTTCTTTTCATATGTTGTTAATTAACTTTTTTTTTTTTTTTTTTTTTTTTTTTTTAAGTAACCTATGCCCAACATGTGGTGCAAACTCAGGACCATGAGATCAAGAGTCACATGCTCTGCTGACTGAGCCAGCCAGGTATTCATAGCACTTACAGTTTTTATGTGTTCTATTTAGAGTCTGCATTTTCATTTTTCTTTGGAAATGGAGGCAGAGTAGAGATTGGGACTTTGGATCTGGA